CAATAAGTGTACGAGTGTAATCATTTGTACGTTGACCGTAATTGTAAATAAATAAAAAAACATACCTCAATATAAAAGAAAATAAATTATTACCAGTCATCAGTTTTTAGTTTTAATTAAGTAAATAAATGTATTTGAAGTATAGGTATAATAGTTAGAAAATCGAAACTCAAATACCTCGAGTTAAGCTAAAACCTGAAAGTTTTTAAAGTTAATATTAAACTTGATATTTTTTTATGTGATAGGTCGGCAAACGAGCATACGGATTATCTGTTGGTAAGCAATCAGCACCGCCCATGGACACCTGCAACAAACGAGCAGTTTCAGTGCGTTGCCGACCTTTTGGGGATTTGGAGACACACACAGGATTAGGGTAGGGGAGGGATTGGGCCTCCGGAAACCTCACTTATACGGCGGAACACAACGCTATGGTAGTTTTCAGTGAGGCGTTTTCATTAAATGTGGGAGAGCCAAGCTTCGGCACGAATGGGTCGGCTCGACCGGAGTGATACCACGGCCTCACAGAATACCGGCGTGCAACAACTAGTGTTGCCCAAATTCAGTCTTGGTCTTGCAGTCTTGGTCTTGTTCTTGCGTTTTTGCAAGACCAAGACCAAGAACAAGACCGCGTATTTTTAGCAAGACCAAGACCAAGACTGACCGTGCGAGACTTGAGCAAGAACAAAACATAGCCTGCAAGACTCTTGCGTCTTGCAGCTAGGACTTATATATTATTATTTCGCTATTTCACTAAGTAGTTAGGTGTAACAGTTCGGTGTATAGGTACGCTTAGGAATTCTATGAGACGCAAAAAAACTGTATCAAAGAATATGAAAAACTGGACCTATGCGCATTGCGACTAATACCATAAACATAGCGAATAAAAAAATATCAATTAAAATCAAACTGAGTGCATGCATAGTTATGTTTTAACCATCGGTACTTTGATAATGCGGCATCAAAGGTTTTGTACTTACTTCTCAAAGAAATTTTTCGGAAGTACATGGTTATGAAATCTAGAACAATCGTTGCCGCCACGCCGAAATCATAACATTTGACACTATTTGATTGCCGCTATAGAGCGTAGGTATACTCCTCAGGTATACTCATGCAAAATAATTTCGAATAATAAGAGTACCTACAGGTGTTCCAAGTTTCAGAGTGTTTAGAATGAAAATGAATACATTATAAGTACCTACTGATCACATGATTTGGATAAAATGGTAAGGATAAGTAGTAGATGTCATATTAATTCATTCTAGTAAGTATATATTATAATATTGATTACTTATATGGTTTTAAACTAATTACTTAGAAACTATTATTGTACATTTAGTCATTATATTTCTTAAGTTTACAAGAAAAAATAGCAAAAAAGTGTTCAAATATCACCCGTTTAATAAATATTGTAGCCACTTTTAAATATACTTGAAACTGCTGAGAGGTTATTTTCTAAAGCATCATTAGTAATTAGAAAACATAAAAAAAGGGTCAAGTAATGAGTCAGCCAGATGGTTACTTTGTATTAATTCTTGGTCAAAAAAAATTGATATAAAGTATCATAACCTAATGATAAAGCTGTTGATTTGTGTTGTATTTTATTTTTTATTCAAATAAATGATAAATCGTAAAACTCTTTTATTAAATTTTTTATAAGTTGAGGGTTCAATCTCTTTCTATACAGATAAGTATTGTTCTTTAAAATACAGTCAAGTTATTGTAATTAATTTGTTTTTTTACATGTTTTAGCAAATGTAAGCTTATAAATCATAAATGTTTATTAAGAAACAGTTACTTCCATGGAAGACGATATATAGGTCAGTTGATTTTTCGAATTTCTTATCAAATCTTCAGTTATTTATTAATCTACTTGATCTTTACTATGGCTATGTTAATTGAAGCTCACAATGTTCCAATTCTAATACGTTTTTCTAAGATTTAAAGTAAACTTTAATAAATAGTAATAGACTAATAGGTAATTGCAAGACTTGCAAGACTCTTGCTGCAAGACCAAGACCAAGACCAAGACTGGGAGCGCAAGACCAAGACCAAGACCAAGACTAGGTGTATTGGCGCAAGACCAAGACCAAGACTGGCTAAGTCTCGTCTTGTTCTTGCATTTGGGCAACACTAGCAACAACCCACAGCGTTGTGTTCCGCCGTATGAGTGAGGTTACCGGAGGCCCCATCCCTCCCCTTCCCCTATCCCTTCCCAATCCTTATATCCGCAACCCCTACCTATCCTCAAAAGGCCGGCAACGCACTCGTAACTCCTTTGGTGTTGCGGGTGTCCATGGACGGCGCCGATTGCTTACCATCAGGTAATGCGTCTGCTCGTTTGCCGACTATATTTCACAAGGAGAAGTCGAGGAGAAGAGCAAGCTAATGAATAATAAAAAGTTTTAAGCAGTTATTACCCACTTACTCTGTTAAGTACTTGGTCAACTGGCACTTATCTTTCTAAGAATAAGCTACATAGGTTCTTTCTTCATGAATGAGTTATAAGATCATAATCATAGGTTACTTTGAGTATTTAATTCGTCTTGTAAGATTTGTTAGAAGGGAAAGCCGTCTTGAGTCGATGCCCCAGTTATATTATTGACCAGCTTTCGCCCACGACTTCGCCTACGTGGTGTGTTAATAAAAAGTAACCTTGTTAATCGAAGGTATCAACTATCTGCCTATCTAATTTCAACGAAATCGTTTAGCCGTTTTGCGAGGAAGAATAAAAAACAAACATACATACATCCATACATTCTTACAAACTGTTAAATTTATAATATTGATAGGATTATCAAAATAATGGAAAATTATTAAAGCGAATAAAATGAGTGTTTTATTGTAGTTGTTATTTTGAAATACAATAAATAGTTGTAAAGTTTAAACATTCATTTTATATGAAATCAATTAATGTGCTTGTAGTTTTCCACTAGTGCATATTATTTACGATAGTACAAAAATAAACTATTCTGTTGGTCTATTTCTAGCATATAGCTTCTCTCACGCGGTTTCGCACGCTGCTCTGCTCTTTGCTATTATACATATATATTTGATTGTAGCGTAATGTTTTATAGCCTGTAGCACGCAGAAACATTGTAGATATCTATCAGTGAAAGAATTTTGACAATCCGATCGGTTCCAAAGATTACCCGCTACATACAAACTTACAAGCTTAAAAACTTACAAATTTTACCTCTTTACAATATTAAGTACTCAATTACATTTTAATTTCGAAATATTTATATTTATAATTCACTAAAAATAAACATTTTGTTCACCCGTTACTCGGAATGGTGACCCTGATATAATTTTGTAGGACACAGCATGGGCCGATGGCGTCCCTTGATTGATTAATCCTTTAGTCGCCTCGCACAATGGCTATACAAAATAATGGAGCAGACGTTTTGTACGCAAGTCTATGTACATTTCTATTTAATATTAAGGTTACCGTTTTGTTTATCTAAAAGAGGTGTAGGAGGAAGATAAAGAGGAGTGCATTGCCGGCTTTTTTTACGATTCGGGTTTCGGATATACAGGGTTTTAAAAATATCTAGATGAATCGGCATTTCCTATCTGACTGCTCTGAAAAGAAATGACGAAACAAACTGAGGTACAATCTATTTTACAGTCTTAGTTAAAAGTAATGCAAGTTTATTATGCAGTGGTATTTTAAGGAAATAGTCACACCAGCTCAATGTTCACAATATGTGTATTTAGATTCTGTACGTAACTGAAAAGAAACAGAATTGTTGTTTGGCTTTTAAAATGTCGTAGTGGTTTATTTCTAGTTTGTTCTTATTATAATAACTGACTGGGATAAATATACTAAAAGCTTTACATACATCTTATAATAAAGTAATAATTATTAATATTTTTACAGTGTCCTACCACAAGGTACAAATTATGAATATGGATGTATATTGCAACTAGTTTGCTCACAAATATAAATGTGTCCTGTATCGTCACACAATATTGGCAAAAACTAAAAAAGGCACACATATTTAATTTTACACATTTGAATAATAACGAATTTGGCACACATGGCCATAAACGACTATAAAATAATATATATTTATATGTAAGTACATAGTAATTTGATGTACACGGCAATGCAGTCCTAGCAACAATTACGAGGGCGGTACTTCCATTAAACTTCGTGAACTTCTTGTAGATTTACGTTCGTGAAGTTTCAAAGACTTCAGGCGCCTTGCTCACGACGACGACGTTAGGATGTCGCGTCAAAATGTTTTGTGAGCTCTTGAGCTAATGCCTGGATTTAAATAGTTTATTTTTCATTCGTCACTTTTGTTAATTTGAAAATGGCTAACGTTTTTACTTTGTTTTACCTATAGTGACTGAAGACATATTTATTGGCACATTAATGCCCGGTTTCCGAAAGGCCGATCAATGTTAAAATCAACTAACTGGGTGTCATATCTCTTGGCAAGTCATCTAATTGGTTGTTGATAATTCAGTCAACCAATCAGATGACCTGACAAGAGATTAAATTGATTTTAACATTGATCGGCCTTTCGGAAACCGGGTGTAAGACTTTTAAAATGTTTGACGCTGGCTAAGCAATTATAATATAGGTATCTTTTTGTAGATTTTACTATATCTGTAATATTATACTATGTACAATTAAAATTACTCAAGAAAGTATTATAACGATTGGGAATACCCACAAAACACAAAAAAATCAAGCTAATTGAACAAATAAGAAAACATAAAATTATACAACACTCTTCAATCTTTAACTAAAAATCCTAAGTAAACACTATTTAAACCGCTAAATATTTACATTAAAAAGTCATTTATTTATATCCATTCGCTATTTGCGCAACTATTTTCTCGCACAACTTTAGAACAAAACCGAATCGCAATTAGCGAGAACGCGAGCGGTAAAAAAAACAATCACTATGAAAAGAAACCCTTTTTCTGTGGAAAGCATAAATCTTCCTCGTTCGGGTTTCTTCTGGCATTCGAGGGTTAGCTTGCACATAAATAAAAACATTGTTTTTGTTAATTCTATGAAATGAAGACAATTAGACTTATTTCTATTTCTTTAAGTTTTAACTATCTTGAGGTCAGTACTGAATTATGATAAACATTAATCGATAAACTATTCACACATTGTCAAGGTCCACGGACTGTATAGGTAATAATTTTTGTCTAAAATTTCAGACTATTTTCACAACGGTTATAACAGCTGCATACCCGAGAAATGTCCCAGAAAACCAGTGAAACAAACTCAGTGTTGTTTTTCGCCGTGTGAGTGCGGTTACCGGAGGCCCAATCCTTCCCCTCCCCCAATCCCTATCTCTCCAAATCTCTAATCCCCAAAAGGTCGGCAACGCACTCGTAACTTCTCTGTTGTTGCGGGTGTCCATGGGCGGCGCTGATTGCTTACCGACAGGTAATCCGACTGTTCGTATGAGATTTATCACATAAAAAAAATCAAATTCGATTATTAGTAATGAATCTGCAATACCTCTGTTAAAAGACGTGTATAAAAATTTATTGGTAAGTTTGGCAACTGGTACTATAAAGCATATATTCTAGTTGGAAGTATACACGTGACTAGTTTATAGTCCAACCAACGCCACAATTTGTTGTTACGGAGAATGTTAAACACATTGACTGACCTGGAAATCAAACAACTCTGTACCTGTCAGTCACATTTGCAAATAGTTCACCATAAAGGCGTTAGCAATTCTTGGTATATATTTTGAGGTGTATATGTATATTTAGTTCTATTCCTTAATCACTCTATTTCATAAATCACAAAATTGGAAAACAGGACATTACCACGTGACCTTTTGCATTATATTCTTTACACAATAGGTACGGCAGTGCGCCACTAGCGCCCAGCTAGAGTCTGTCTTTTTTCTTTTTATATAATAAGTTGGCAAACGTGCGGTCAAATTACCTGATGGTAAGCAATCAGTGCCATCCAACGGAGGAGCTACAAGTGTGTTGCCGACCTTTTGGGGATTAGGGATTTGGAGATTTTGGGATTGAAGAGGGATTGGGGGAGCGGTAGGGAGACGGATCGGGGGAGGGGAACGATTGGGCTTCCGGTAACCTCAGCCACACGGCGAAACACAACGCTGTGGTTGTTTCAGGCCGGTTTTCTGTGGGGCTGTGGTATCACTCATATCGAGCCGACACATTCGTGCCGAAGCATGGATCTCCCACACTTAGCATTCTATCCTTAGCATTCTATTCTTAGCAGTCTATTTAATATTAACCAACTTTTTCTGAATATTATCATTTAAAAAGCGTCTTAAAATTACATAAGTTTAAAGATAACATTATTAATCATCACATACCGACATAACCAAGTGCTCCATAATTACACTATAACAATTAACTTTTCTAAAATGATAGAATTAATTACATATTTTGATCTTAACTTGACATGAATAGGTGAGGTAGTATTATGAATGTTCATTAGAAATAATCTTTTGTATGTTGTTAATTATGTAGCTACCTATACTGGCCGCCTTCGGGCACTAAATGGTCTGCTCCATTTAGTGTCCGAAGGCATTCTACGTGTACAAATACCTTACTGACCAATTAAATCACTTCTACATGTGCTTCCAACAATGGCCCGGGAAGCCACACTTCTCAATAGCCCGCTCCTACCATAGACACGTATAGTTGATTCTATTGACACCACCCTTTGACATTCTGACGTGAATGTTATTCTGACTTGACAACTATATTGTTGCGTTCCGACCTCTATGACATTTTGTCGGGCGTTTCAAATGTCAGCATCACCGATATTTTGTACATAAAGGGTGTTTTCCTAAGTAAGAATTTTGTGTATAAGTAGCTACTTGTTTTTTTTCTAGATATATACGATTATTAATAGCAAGTTGTTTGAATGTAGTAAACGGCTTTTAAGTGTGGGAGAGCCAAGCTTCGGCATGAATGGGTCGCCTCTACCAGAGCGATACCACGTCCTCACAGAAAACCGGCGTGAAATAACCACAGCGTTTCGCCATGTGACCGCTTACCATCAGGTAATCCGTTTGCTACAGCTTTAGATAAAACTCGCGTTAATTGTTTCGCCATGTTAGTGAAGTTACCGAAGGCCCAACTTGCCCTCACATGATCCTTAATCTAAGAATCCTCAAAAATTGAAATCCTTAATTATTTTTTATTTATTTATTTAATAGGTCGGCAAACGAGCAGACGGATTACCTGATGGTAAGCAATCATCGCCGCCCATGGACACTTGCAACGGAGGAGTTATGAGTGCGTTGCCGTCCTTTTAGGGATTAGGGATTTGGAGATTTAAGGATTTAGGAGGGATTGGGGGAGAGGAAGGATTGGGTTCCGGTAACCTCACTCACACGGCGAAACACAACGCTGTGGTTATTTCACGCCGGTTTTCTGTGAGGCCGTGGTATCACTCCGGTCGAGCCGACCCATTCGTGCCGAAGCATGCTCTCCCACACTATAGCATAGCATATAGCAAAACTCCACAAATAATATAATGAAAAATAGATTAAGACGCAGATTTTTACTGGTAACTGTAAAAATCAAGTTAAAAACACCAACGAAGAAATGTATCTACTTTATTTCGAAAATGTTAATTAGTTACATATTTACCTAACGGTTTATAGTACAATAATAATTTGGCTAAACAGCGCTTAGTACAAACAATAGTTGTTTACAAAGACCTGGCAGTTAATTGTTACATGAGGTTAGGACAACAAGCTACATCGGACCAGAGTGTCGGGTAAACTGATTGCTTACAATACTTTGTTTTGTTATTTGTATTAGCCGACGGCAACCGTTGTTTGAGCGCTGAAAACAATTGTTGTAGCGATAACATTTTTATTATTAAGTTTTGAATACAATATTTATCAATTACATATCTTAAAACTTAAAGCACTGGCTCAAGATAAAAAATAAATTGTAATACAAATTATCTACATATTTTCCCAATATAGGCAAGACTATAAGAATGTGTGTAAGAGTGTTGAATCAAGTGGAGTAATGCCACACAGAAAACAGGCGTGAAAAGACGGTTACACTGTGTTTCGCCGAGTGAATGAAATTACTGAATGATAGAACATTCAGTCACTTCTCCCCTTCCCCGATCCTAATAAAACCAGTAAAGCACTTGTAACTCTTCTGGAGTTGCAGATGTCCAAAGACAGAGCCAATTGCTTATTATTAGGTATTATGCGACATGGTAAGCTATTAGGTTTACCACCTTATCACAAACAAGAAAGAACCTCGTGCTACTACAGATCGATTCAATCTTATAAATTACATTTTACTAATAACCTAATAAGAAAACCTCAAAGTCTTGTCGGAATGGAAGGATTTCATAATCTAAATCTGATTTCACCACTGGATTTTCATTTTCTTTAATTCTCTTTCTTGATGTCTTAATTTTATACAAATGGATAAGAATTTAATTTGAGACTTACCAGAACTTTCTTCGAAATAATTAGTTCTATGAATACAGTGGTATTAATATTTGAAGGATATTTGTATGAAACTAATTTGCACTTAATCCAATTCTGGTTAGATGTTATAAAGAAGCATTTACAAATTTAATAAAATACATTTATTTCAATTTCAAAACAATGAAATGTTCTTTAAAATTAATAAAATTGTAATTAAGAGGGTTCGGATAAAAGTCACTCGATTAAATGTCGTATAACAATGACAAAAGGCTCTTAATGTAACGGAGGGTGCTCTCTGTCAGCCCTCCCTATTGATGCATAGATACGGGGGACCCTATCAAAATTTAAATGCGGTCCATTTTAGCTGTTTCGGTCGGCGGAATCGTAATGAAAATATCCTTTACATTTACCTATATTAGATTTTTTATTCGACCCCAACCTCGTATTTGGGCAAACCAATTATTACGTGGTGGGGATCTCGACATTGCAACTTGTTTCAGAAAGTATAATATTTTCCTTTTCAATATGAAGATTGTGCTTAAAGTGTAGGGTTGGACGGCGTCGCATCAACTCACCAGAGAAATATAGCGCTTTCATAAAATCCGAGGTGTCATTTCCTTTTGAATAGTTCGTTATATCTGCGTGGTGAACGAAGCCGTGTATAAAAGTCTCAGGTTATTACGAGTCGACCGCGATCCTTCCGCGTCATTGTGGAACGGACGTGTAACAAAATGGACGCGGACACTAAATCTCGGCTCTATTGACAAATGACGTAGTTACAATACTGTATCGTTTGCCAGCCCATACCAGTCTGTGTTTCCTTCCATGTTTTTGATGTCGCATGATCGTAAACTAGTATAGCTTCCTTCCTATTGAGCGTAAGGATTGAATTCTCCTTTGATGTGTACATAGTATTTGCGTCTATAAATACGGCCGTTACATCGACGTTCGTTTAGTAGTCTCCCTTTATTGCGATGTTTTTGCGGGTGTGTGCCTTTCGTGAACTCTGTGTCTCTGACAGAAATATTCATGTGAAAACGTTGTAAGCGGGATAGTGGTTGATATTATTATTGTTAACAGAATAAGCAAAAACAACGAGTATTTGCTGTTGTGTATTCTAGCGAGGGATGTATCAGAGGCAGTTTTGTTCCTCAAATTTCTTAGAAATGTGTTGTTTATTATAATGGAGTGCTTACATAAAGTATTTATTGGGTTTTCGGATTGAGAAGTTCTCTGAAATCGTGTGGTTTCTAGAACACTGTTCTGTATTTTGTATTAGGCCCAAACCTTATTACAAGCGTATTAAAAATAACAAGATCCAGGACACGAGGAATTACTACTAAAAAGATGAATCAATGACATATGTTGGAGTATGATATGAAGAAAACGCCCTCCGATCCCAAAAACGTTGAATTATAAGAAAATTATAAAGAACATTATGTCTGTTAAATTCATCGATGAATAGCAATTTTTTTTATCACGCAAAATATAAATTTAAATGTAAGAATATTCTAGACTATTATGACTTTAACATTATAATTATAATTACAAATATAAAGAAATATTTTACCTGTCTTGGCGAATTTGTTAATATAAGAGCGTGAATAGTTTAGTTTATTCTTAAAGAGGACTTAGCCACGAATGAGTAATGCTAAAAAAATGTTTGCGTGGAACGAATAATGATTGTAATTAAAACAATTTCAAGTTAAACGTAATGTTTAAAGGAAACATTATTATATTTTAGTGACAATGTTAATTCGGTACTCGATAGTGATTTATATTAAGAAGTTGAACATATTGCCAGACTTTTATCGCAGCTATAGCATTTGACTTTAAAACCAACGGGTGGTAACCAACGTGGATAAAATTTTCAAATACTCAACTGCTGAAATCCTCACTATTATCACATCATCTACCCAGTCAAAAGATACTCATTCTTCTGATATTTATTATAAGGTATAAGATCCTGTTCCCTAAATAGTATTTCCCTTAAAATCTCGCTACTTAAATTCAAGTAATATTTTTCCGAATCATTACGTAGGTAGGTAGCTAAAATCCTTTTCAAATTAACCTTCATTCTGAGATCAGAAGCTGGCCATAATGTACTTATACATCTTGAGAATTCCATAAATAGCTCCAAGTAATCAATAGGCAGGTGATTCTTCTCTGTCTGTATCAATTTCATTGCTGGAGCACCCACATCTAACGTCACACATACATACACTTTATATTATTCATATACTTTATATCGAGACATAAATCCTCACTTTCAATACTTTTATATCCCATACAGAAGAAGGAATTTATTACGTTTCGATAAATAAGTATGGTATAAACCCTCTTTGTTGGAAGGGTCATAAATCACCCAAATGAACCCGAGCCTCTATTGACAAAAGTAGCATCATAAATAAATAAATACATTCTTACACGGCACCCGCCACTCGTACAGAACTCTTTCAAGTGATGTTCCCTTTGTGCAAATAATGGTAAATAGGCATTTATACAAACATATTTCGCATTTGTCAAAGGTGTCCCTTTATTGTGATTTGTGATATGCTTTCGGTTTCACGGGGCCGTGCCTTCTTCCTTTTGTAGCATGCAAAATAAAATAATAAATACTAGAGAAACGGGAAGCATAAAGCTTTTGTTTTGGTTTCAAGTGAAGCGTCAGTAGTGCTCACATTTACGACGCTCACGAATGTGGGCTATCGGAAGGTTATAAAGTGGAAATATCATACAATAGGTACGTACGCGGGAATAGCTATCGAGTTCACTTCAAAGGACAGAGCGAAAGGAACAAGTCGATTGGAAATAATCTTCATTTTCAGGAAGGAATCGTGACTAGTAGACGTGTCATGATCTTATCTAGTGAAGTTGGCATTCAAGTGCTTGTTGTTGTGATATCAACTGTATGTGGTAAACATCTACCGTCTTATCGTAATGCTTATAGAAATTGTGTAAGCAAGGACAGCCGATTGTGATATACCTTCTTTATGTTTTATTCGTAGCAACATGTGAGTAATAAATATGCACTCGGATAATATGGCAGGGATCACAAAACAAATCAGTTTTAAATTGATAATTATATTATTCAACCCTTTTTAGATATAAAAGTTATAAAAAGTATAAAATTGATTTTTAATATCAACACATATCTTTATTAGATACTTTAAGTGTCGGAAAAGTGTATTTGAAACTCGTTGAGAGTTCACTGTTGTGGTTTCGTAAGCCGCCAAGTAAAATGTTTGCAAGCCAGACTCCAGCAATACACACAAAACGCATCGTGAATGCATTTTCATAGAAGAAACGTGTAAACACTTTACTCTGAAGCAGTTTAAAAAGTCAACAAATATCTTTGAACACTTTATGCTACATCCAATTCTTTAGAAATGGTACTCGAATGTAATAGACTTTAATCAGTGCTGTTAATCTTCTAAACTGCGTTTTGCGTTCACACCGAAACCAAAGATGAACATAGATATTGAAAAAGCGGAGGGAAATCCAATGAAACGGTAAATCAAGTTCAGTTCATTGATTCAAACGGCACATTTTAAAATTCGTAGTTAGTAAACATTTTCTTATAGATCTAAGGCCTTATTGGACTATTCCAATATTGACGGATGTAGACTTGCCCATCAGAAATTCTCTTCGGAAATGATGTGCGGAATCGGCAAGTAAAAGGCATTAAATCTGTCTGGAGCTTTCGATTTGCATTGGGAAAATTGCATTTTCGAATCGACGGCGACAAGGAGGCGGCGCCTGAATGTTTGCAAATGTGTTGCAAAAGCTTTGCTTAGAGTTTTGCCCCAAGCGTTGCCACTAGCAATAGGACGTCGTGCCAAGCAAATGACGTAAGCCGGAGACACTTGTGGACTTTGCGGCAAATCACATTGTGTTTGGACTGATTATTTTATGGAATCGTTTTGGTGCCAATATTTACGCTCCTTACTCAAATAAACGAGACAGAAACATCTGTTTTCAAACTGTTACAGATTTTTTCGTCAATTCAATAACAAAGATTGCCATTTTTTACCTGTTGTAATTTTGAACACTTTATGATGACAAATTAATAAAAAGGTTTATAATAAAATTATTTATGGACATGTAAGTGGCTGCTACTCTACACTATGAAAAATAAAAAAGGAATCATTTAAAATTTGACAGTGAAAAAATACCAACATACTTCACCGGTTAGTTTAAATTTCAGTAAAATATAATAAAATTTGATAAAGCTAAATTAACAAGAATAAAACAGAATATATGAAAAATAATTAGAAAAATTACAAAAAATATGGAATGCTGTTACCAGCCTGATTGTGGGGAGTACACTGTGACTCCAATGTTGGTGGCTCCATCTTGTACACCGAATTATTGTGTTGAGGAAGCGGCATACATTCCGTGTCTGCCGCGATGTCAGAAGCCAGTTTATTACTGCTGTACGAAGGAGGTGCCGAAGAGAGACTGTTGTCCTCTTCCTTCGCAGCCGGTTTGCTGTCGCCCACAATCTACACCTCCGCAGCATGTGCAGTGTCCACCACCACAAGAGGCTTGTGATTCTTGCTGTACCCAACCCCCACAACCACCACCGTGCAAACCACCCAAAACCAAGTACATTATACCTTGCTATAGATACGAAGACGGAAGAATTGTAAGTTTTCTAACGGCATTTTCTCTACGTTTAGTAGGATTGTTTGTTAATTTATTTTTGTAGTACCTTTGTTTTATTTCTTATAGTATCATTACGAACATGCTACTGGTAGAATGTACAATATATTAGTACTCGTTATAAAATATATTTGTCTAAATTAGGTTAATTGACGGTTAATGTAGGAAATAGTACCATTTTTACCTCCTGGAATCGAAAGTGGGTGAAGATGTACTGTAATACAATGTATTCAAAACATACCTGCTTGAATAACTCAGTGGATTTATAACATTATTGTGGCGCACGTGTTTTTAAATGTTTTCGTGGTTCCATTGTTTTGTTGTTAGTTTCAGGAACGGTATGTTCCGACACGTTATGGTAGACTCCCCATGTCAGCATACCGTCGAAACGGAATGCAGGACCAAATCCATGGATACCGCGGAGCAATCCGCTACTTATGCACAGGTGAAGGACCTCGCGGACAGTATTGCGTCCACACCTCCGTGGAGCCGATGAATAGACTGTTCCCGAAAGTCACTCAGGAAGTGCTTCCTGTTAAAAAGAGAAAGGAAAAAAAGTAAAAAAAATCATAACGAAACCTGTCCCAAAATGTTTGTCTATAAAATTTTGTAGTATATCAAATGTAAAAGTATTTCTCGTCAAAAGAAAAACAAATAAGAAAAGAACGTACCTGACAGGTAAATCCTCTACCATCATCTGCACTAAGACGGAACGGAATTCAAGATCACAAGTACAACGAATGCGGCAGTATTTCATATATTCGCAAGTGTTGGCATAGTGCGATTTGCAGTGACTACCCTGTTGCTATTCCTGTTAAACCAACGAAGAAATGCGCCGTCATTAAGTCGTAAAGACCTCTTTTCGGGTGCGTAAAGTAATGAATAGTGTAGGCACGTATTTGTTGCTGCTTACGTAATAAATATTTAGATAAATGTATGGTTGAAGCAGACTCATTAATGCTTTCTGTGTCTATTTGTCATCATATTTCTATATACTTTGAGCGAAAATACAGGGAAATTCGCAATGCCTGAATAGGGCGCAACTAACTTGCGTCTATCTGGTCCGTTGCAGGTGAGAAGGCTACCCGTATCTGCATTCAAGCGCAATGGAATGCAAGACCAAGAGCACTCGAAACTGCTTGGCACTGCGAATTTCCTTGTAAGGTGTCCCCGTGATGTGTCCATCGAATGTGACGTTCTTGTGAACCCTGTCAAAGTGGCCGACCCTGTCAAAGTACCGTCTTGTTCAAAAAGCCCGCTCGGCTGTGCTTTCCTCAAGAAGAAACCCATTGAAGTTTCTCTTGAAGATATATTGGACGAATAAAACATTAGTTTTTTCGTGGAGTCTGAAGCTTGAGCAACACTATAAAAACAAAAGAATGCAGAACTGAGTTCTATGACAAATTGTAGACGTTATATAAGAACAGCATAATAAATGGGAATATCTCACGTAAGCAGCTTTACTCGTATTCTTGGTGCGGTCATATTGTTGAAGAATTATTTTATGACTTTTATTAATGACCTATATAAAACTACTAACTTAATTAGTATAAGTATTCCAATGATTATTTTTTCATTGTTTCAGACAAATCAACCTACGCTGCTGATGCGGCGGGCATGTGAGGTAGCCTGCGGGACCCGCCCACGACGGAAACCGTTTGTGGTTTCTTCCTATTCAGCGGACCCGCACAGCGAAATACGACGGTTTCATTCTGAAGATGAACGGGTATATAGATATTCAAATAACTAAGATATCACTGCATAGCAATGCATATCTGCAAATAAGGAATCCGATCTAAGGCTTAGTGGTCATATTTTAATATTTAAATGATTCTTGTGAGAATGAGAATCTTGGGTTTATAAAACTTTTCTAGATTCCAATTGAACTGGGCGATATTTTATGAAAAATTAATATTCAGTAGGAGGATGGAAAGCCGCCACCTGAATTGATTCCCACGCAATATCCTTTTAGAAGCTGAAGCCAAAGCAAAAAGCCGAATAAACGCCGTCGGTGACGCTGAGGAGAAATTCAATTTCATTACAAACCCAGTCAGTGCTAGAAAAATGAATCCGACGTAGACCACAACCGGAAAATGAGATTAGAATTCCTTTATGTCAATGTTGTATACATTGGAAAAATATGTAATGAATTAATTTGTCGCCAGTGTCTTAGTTATGTTATTCCAAGCTAAATATTTTGAGTTGCGTGCATTGGGATTATGTTGGTAGATCTTCTAATATAATTGTTGAATTTCTTTCCTATACTTGATTGAAACTACCATAGTTTAGCCCCCAATATTCATAAATGCACATCCTCTCGTCAGCCTATAAATGCCTAATGTTGAGCAAAGGCCTCTCTCTTCCTGGATACAAAACGGATTGAAGACTCGAAAGATGGTAGTTACAAATTTGAGTCTAGACTGCCTCATTATAGTTTCCTTTACCGTTTGTCAGAAGTATGTAAATCAAATTAAACAAGGGAAAAAAATCCCATTAGTTGTTGCCAGATTTCGAGCCCGTACCGCCGTCATGCATGACAAGCCTTAACTCCAGCCCACCAAGTTTTTACAATATATATACTTAGTTTTACCTTGCTCTTAATCTACGGAACCTCTAACTAAATACCTGTACAAGTGTTCCTTTGACTGACTGATACTAGACGACAAATATTTCTTAAACAGAATCCATCACATGAATGATCTTAAATATCTGCAATATGTCCGACGTTTGTACATGAAATATTTTATTACGATCTCATGTACCCCAACTACCTACATTCGTTGAACCAATGATCTCGATTACACCGGAGCTGACGACATGAAACATCAAACGTTTGGAGTACGATATACATTTATATATTATGTATACTTTTATAATAATGTTTAAACATGGTTACGGCTACGTTAAAATCTACACCCTTAACAAGAAACAAAGTTGAAGGAATTTCTTAGTTCCCAATTTAGCAAGTTGTCTCTCTTAACCAAATTACTGAATTTGTCAACTTCAAAATGAGTGTAAGAATCAGATTATCCTTAGAATTGGAATTTTAATCAAATTGCTCCACTATTTACGAGCAATTTACGTGAGATTAGACGTTATTTCGAGCTACGACTGTTTGGTGTGTTTTTGACATCGATCGTGCCGTCTCGTGGACCACAATGTTTATTCGGTGAACGCGACATGGGTTCAGATGGGGATTTATTTTCGACTGGGGCTCAAGATACGACTCTTCGTGATTGGACCTGTAATCCGAAGGCTCGCAGAATTAGGCCGGCGGCTCGCTACGGCTAAGAACTCACGGAGCGATTTTCGCCCGCGTCCGCTACGGTTGCGGGCCCGCAGCTTCTGTAGAATCCAAATATTTATATAAAAAATTAAAGCACATTTCACGACGCGTTTTACGCCCGCGGTGTACGCGGTTGTATGCGGCTCCCGCTGTACCGGCGGGCAACTAGTAGAATCGCGCGGGCCGCGGTTACCCGCAGCCTCGGCGGGTGGCACCCGCGCGCTTTGCGATCGGTTGGCGAGCGACCGCGGGGGCCGGCGGGTCTTCTGTGAAGTAAATATAACGCAACGGCTCGTCTCGCCCGTCTTGCAATCTTGCGATCATCGCCCGCCACGTTTGCGGGCGATGATCGCAACCGCGGCGGCTGTGTAACCGCGCAAATAACCGGTCTCGTGAGTTTGGAAATAAAACCGCAGTTCCGCTACCGCGGCGGGCACGGTTCAAAATCGCTCCATGAGTTCTTAGCCTACGAGCGAAACAACCGCTGACTCGGTCCTGTCTAGTTAAACATTTTATTGTTTGACATACTTGACAGTTTAATTAAAGTTTAATCTCTTAACGTGATGGTTCACTAATCCGCAGCGGTCCGCAGCGATCCGCAAATTTGAGTACGCTCTCACAATTGAATATTCAACGAATTGTACACACCATCACCTGGGCCATTTGGCATCCTTTAACACGAAAGAAAGTTAACAGATCCCTAACTGAATTTAAACTTTTAGCAGTCCTCGTCTAAGCCCAGTAATTAACAGAAAGCGTAGTTATTATCCGAAACACAGAAACTTTCTGGATAGGAATTTGGACTTACGATTCGTGCTTTTTTACCTGCAAAGTTAATTAATTTACGGGATTCCAGTTCACAAACTTATCTGCTTATGCAAATAAGAAGATCGCCGTCCCTCGTAGGGATTTTTAAATTAAATTTGAATTTTATTTGTTAATTCGGAATGAATTTTTGATCTCGAGAGTTCCGCTTTGTTTATTTTGTTATTTTCAGTTTATTTTTTATTTTTTTAAACAGGGTAATTGTTGCTACCACTTCGAGAGGAAGAAACCTCCGAAGGAATCTGGTTGTGCGTCGTATCCGCCCTGTCAGACGTGTTACACAGACTGTGTGTTCGCTCGACCGGTCGACTCACCTAGCTGCTACTACTATTGCACCTGAGCTGGAAAAGAAAATATATCTTTTTTGTTTGTAAATAATTGGTCCCGGTTTGTCACATTATGCCCAAACAATTTGGTGGCTATATGTTAGTAAAGTTTTTGTTTAAATATGAGTTTTATTTAAAAAAAATACAGTATCGAGCAGTTGTAATTTAAATAAAACTTAATGCTCATTATTTATTTAATCACCTCTCGTTTCTTAAGGCAATATTATTTTACAAGTTATAAACATATATTATACCACCAATGAGATATATTGTTATTATTTTAGCGTATTCAATTTATTTTGTTGATTAGAAAATGTGTTATTGGAGTTTTTAGTAAAGAAATTTCCTACCTACGAAAATGCATTAAAATATCACGTGCATACTGTAAATGCTTACCACGAGATCTAGGATTCGCATTCTCCGTTTCAATAGAAACTTTTTTTATAAATGGCAGTAATGGCAGTAAGGGCGAATTCGTCGCGGTTCTTTTGTGCAAATCACACGCGATTGTTGCGTACAGAAAGAGTGTACCAACGCGCGAGAATTTGGGGACGAATTCAGTCAGTAGAAAGCATGGAGTTAAACGAAGCACCGGACGCGCGTATAACTGGACGCAACAAGGGATCCCTAGTATCTCGACTCGCGCGCAATACGCGCGAATAACGCGCGAGTCGAGGTTCCGGCGCACAGAACAGAAAGGTTATGCACGCGATTTACGCGCGTATTTTGAATTCGCGTGATGCTTGTGGACGCGATGTATTCATGCCTAGTATCTCAATAGCGCACGTATGAATTCGCTCGAAACGTTTCGCGACGAATTCGCTTCTTCTGGATAGCTTTAGCTTTAGGCTTAGGTTCTTTCCAAGACAAGAATACCGTATAGTGGAACTTGCCTGATGATATGAACTGGATACCTACGTAGGTGGGTATTCTTATACATAGTCTTTGGTTTGATCTGATTTATGTCATGTCATCCAAAGTATACTCATCAACATAAATGAATTTAGGTCGTAGACATATTGGAGTTTTGCTTATATAGTTACTTAATGTAACGTTTGAATATGACATGAATGGTTTCAATTCATGATTTTAACTGTCTATTGGCAACATCGTGATTTGGTTTGGGTATTTCTGGGAATTTCTCCAAGCTGACAACCAAACGCGCGACTACTTCACGAAGTAGGTTATAAAGGTTATAAAAAATATAATAGAACGTTGCGTAAAATTCTTTCTTTAATTACCGGTAGAGGCGCTTCAGTCACTGTTTCTTTTTCCTAAAATGGAAAGCTATCGAATGAGAACCCTGACTGAACACCAGTCCTATTGGGCAAGTCTGTGGTGGTCCGTTAGCTCTTTGAGGTGCGCGCGGGAGGCTACGCCCCGTACGCTCGTGTCCGGTTCTGGTCGGGCGATGAGCTAACCTTGCTCGCTGTCCTGGTAGTAATATCATCTAAGAAGAAAAAATCGAATCAAGTGGTGTTAAGAGTCACGAATAGCTTCTGCCAACTGCTTCTGGTTTTCTGGTCATGTTTAATGAGTTATATTTTTTTGGCTCCTGACTTCGGAGAAACAAATACAAATTTGTGTACAAAAAGTTATTACACATTCTTATACCAATATTTATGTAGCTACGTACTACACGATGAAATCGCTACAAGAACTTTGACACCCAAACTTCCCCGAGGGCTTCAAGTGCCGAAGTAATTATATTTTATTACACACATGAACGTAAACCTCTGAGTTACAACCGACAAAACAATCCACTTACGTACTTATTCATTCTTTAGTCTTATTACTTCCAATAACTTTTTAGGCGTGTTCTGTTTCTCGTAACAAATGAACGAAATCTGTACGAGACATAAAGACGAACGATCAATTTGGCGTTATTACTTTGATTCTCAGCTATCAGTGCGTAATAAGGCGTAACAAAGATAATATTTTGTTGCAGACAACACGTCGGCCACAATCCGCCAGCCAATCAATCGGAAAAGAGAAGATCCCGGAGATTTGTATTGAAACCTGAATAGAGTAGTGAGAGCAAGAATTTGGTACAAGTGTGTGAGCAAAATGCGTATAGTGTGTCGTGTGAACAGTGTGATAGTGTTTGTGTGTCGTGCCTGTGTCTGAGGGGGGCCAATGCGAAGGCGGCGCGGGAAGGGGGCGGGGCGAGGTGTGCGGTGACTGTCCGCTGCACCATGCGACCGCCGCTGCCGCTGCTGCTGCTCGCCGCGTGCGCCGCTTGCACTGCGCAAATTGCATGGACACCAATTTTCCTCGACGGCAGTAGTGAGTATTTTATTTTGCTGCTTATATAGATAAATTTTTAATTATTGAAACCCCAAGGGAAAGTCGGCGTTCGCGGAAGTTACCACAATTGAATGGTTAAAAAATCACATTACTAACACCCTGTGACAGGCCTGCAGCAATGATAATCAGCTCAACATACTGCGTGACACAAACTATGTTTAAGTAAAGTTTGCAGCACCACAATGAGAAGACGTTTTTGTAGTTCTTAAAATAAGACTACCTAGTAATCTTACCAACGCAAGATAGGAAGACCAAAATTCTCTGTTCATAGGTCAAGTCGATTTGTGGACGCAGTCATCGTCGGGGTGCGCATGCCCCGGCGGTGATGGCGACGACTGCGCGTGTTGCGTGCGCGACGGCGCGTGTCCCTGCGGTGAGGTTGCGCCGACGCGCTGTGCGCAATGCGGGCTCGAACAGTACTGCGCGAACAGTAAGTAGTATACATATTAATTAACATACTGTAACGTCATTTTTTTTGAAGGTCAGCACTGTCACTTTTTTTTAGTCATTTTACGAGTCTCTTAGTATAATTATACGCGATATAGCAGGTCAGGACACTTTGCAAATTTTAATGGATTCTATACAAGTGAAATCGTAGAAGATAGGTTTTTTTAAGGCAAAGTAGCAGACGGATGACCTTGTGGTAATTGATCAGCACCGCCCATGGCCACCTGCAATACACGAGGTATACATATAGGCACCGCCAGCTTTTTAAGACGGAGTACGCACGTTTTTTAACGATTTGAAGATCGTATTGGTTCAGAAATACCGTCGCAGTAGCTAGAAATAGTCAACGACGCGTTAGCGACCATCAATTCAAAAAATAAAACGGTATTATTTGAAACAATCGCAGATTTGGTTCGAATTACATTAATAGTTTATAGAGTACCTATTCTCTTAATCTGGATGGACTTGATCTCGTATATGCTGTCCGTGATGGACAATTCGAGTTACAGAACTCACAAGTACACTCATCCTTTTAGGGAAATGATTAATTTTGGTATATACACAAATTATGGTATCTCTTCAGATAAAACAAGTGGCCTGCTCTCATGGGTTGCATTTTAGAGGTACGATGGATGCAAGTCACTGAATATTAACTGCCTCACGCAAAAATAATGCCTACAACAGAAATAGTCAAATGTTTCCTATCAGTCTTTAGATTAGACTGAGGCCATTCGCAATAAGGGAATTTAAACTATGAGTGTATCAGTGAATCAAACCACTATCGTGATCTTTTTAAAAAATTGCCGTCACGTTAGAGGCTATAAGGCTTATTTATTAAAAAAAATTGAATGCGAGTTAAGCCACGAGTGAATCACTAATAATGTTTAGAAAAAATACTAATGTACTAGTAGCAGTGCAACATTAGTAACATGTAGTAGTAGTATATGTAATTATATTATTGCTGTCTCTGATGATGCTTGTTTTGTGCACCTTTATATTTATCTCTGCATCATCCAAAAGTTTGGCTGTCAGAGAATGCCCATGGCATTAAGCCCACCTTTGTACATTTGTTGTGCATAAAGATATTAAATAAAAAAAATTAGAACGTAGATAATTAATAAAAAAAAATATTGAATATCTTCCTGTTCTTTAAAACTGAAACATCTGTTAAAATTCAGCTAATTAACCGTTGTATATGAAAGTCTTAATGGGTTCAACGTTGTATCCACTTTATTTTGTTCAAGTTTCATTCCTTGTTCCGTACGAAATTACCGTTCTCAACAAAGATGTATCTTTGTTACAAGAAATTCAATTATTATCTATGCGGCTGGCAGAACGCCAAGTTATCATTGATATATTTCCTTTTCCTGTACAAAATTAATATTTTTAATTTTATGGTCCGATACACAGGGTCGTCATAACAAATGTTGGAATCTATAACAAAGATTTGGGGTCACAATAAAAATATAAGTAATATAGTCTTTTATTTCTGGTTTATTGTTTTCGTCTATTGTTTATTTGATCGCTTTCTGCATTCTTTGCAAACACGATCGTTGATCGTAAATTTAACTATTTAAACATAAATAAAATTAACAAATTCAATTACAATAATCCTTTTCCCCTCCTTCTATCCGTCAACGAACTCATACTGCTCTTGTGTTGCGGGTGTCAGTTGGCTGCGCCGATTGCTTACCATCAGATAAAACGTCTTTTTTATTAGTATTTATGTAATAGGTCGGCAAACGAGCACAGACGGATTACCTAAGGGTAAAGCAATCAGCGCCGCCCATGGACATCCGCAACGGAGGAGTTACGAGTGCGTTGCCGACCTTTTAGGGATTAGGGATTTGGAGATTTACGGGTTAAGGAGGGATTGGGGCCAGGGGAAGGACCTGGCCTCCGGTAACCTCATTCACACGGCAAAACACAACGCTGTGGTTGTTTCACGCCGGTTTTCTGTAAGGCCGTGGTATAAATCTGGTCGAGCCGATCGATTCGTGCCGCTTTGGCACGAATCGATCGGCTCTCCCACACGTACTCGGTCCATTTGTGGTCATATTATATGAAAAATAAGTATTTAGCTAATCTGCATACCTATATAAAAATATAGCCTGCATATATTCTGTAAAATAAAATAAATATCATTTATCATTAAGTATTTTGGCACTACAAGCAACAAGGAGGTATAAATAGTTTGTCCTCTAAAAAGAGCTACATCATGCCCTATATTATCTGCAATTTATTATGGTACACCCACGTTAGAGCTATTTCAGTCCTCCACAGCTAGAGGTAAGCCTTTGACCATACATTAGCGACAAATCTAGATCTTATGCTATTGCAGAACAAGTTCTCTAAATAATAATGACTTTTTTGTAAAATAGTTTTCGTGTTTCGATTTTGTGGATAACAAAACTGTCTGTGGATAATTAAAAAAATATGTGTTATGCAAACTAATGCTCAAACCTTTTTCGAGTGATAAGAGGCCTTTGCCCAGCAGTGGGCACTTATAGGCTGATGATGATGATGATGATAAAAATATACAAGGCTCATTACGTTTCAATAAAACATTTAGATAGAAGCTTCGTTCAATGTATGTACAAAAGCCTTTGTATTTCAATAGAATGCAATTATGCAATTATATTCATTTGTTTAGCAAAGTGTTCTATTGTTGAATCTGTCAATTTAATGGCCGCTGTCATTATACATTGCGTTTTAGTTCAGTTTATCTAAATTAGTGCATGTTTCAACACACGTCGATAAACATAGTCTGATGTTCGAAGCCATTGATTTGATGAAGTCAACTGACTAGATATACTATAGGAGGTGGTATGTCGTTATTGGACCCTTGTCAATCATTTCTATGCTGTCATCGCAATGATTGGTAATAGAAAGATGAGTTACATTCCTAAAAAAGAGCTCAAGTTATGTCATAACTGGTAACAGTTTTCTTTATCCATAAGGATGCCCGTGTTATACGGGTTTTTCTCGATTGAATGTAAAATAATTGAAAAAAAATATTCTACTGTGTTCTTGTTTTCAAAAACTTTGCAACAGCACTGTACCTGCTATATTTCTAAAAAATAATCCGTTTAGCCCATGAACATGATATTATATGTATAACTTTGATAATAATATATTTCGTGATTGTAAAATGTATTAGTGTAAACTTATACATGTTTTTGTAAAAGACATTTTTTAAAACCACATTATCTTTCAGTGTGCAACATCACGATCGACTCGCGAGTACTCAAAACCAAGTCTGGCAAGACATTTGGCCAGATCAAGTCACCTTCCATCGAGGGTCCTGGCGCCTGTTCCTACTTCTTGCAGCCAGACGCTGGACAGAGAGTTGAAATACAGTTATATCGACTTGTCTCCGTTGGAAAATTTAATGGGTCGAGGTAAGTTCTAGAAACTTTTTCCAGATTGAACTATCTATAACAAACGTGAAATGTAATATCACGAATGAAATCTATACTAATATAAAGAGGTAAAATGTGTAAGTTTTTATGTTTGTAAGTTTATATGTAGGGGGTAATCTTTGGAACCTCTGGTCGGATTGTCAAAATTCATTCACTGATAGAGATAGCTACAACGGAGCCGAGCAGCGGGTGAAACCGCGCGAGACTAGCAGCTAGTCCTAGATACAGAAGTTACTCTTTAAGTTGAGTATTACAATGCATTAAAGAAACACGCTTGCCCTTAACTACATAGTATAAAACAAAGTCGCTTCCTCTGTCCCTATGTATGCTTAACTCTTTAAAAATCCCGCATCGGATTTTGATATTATTGTTTTTTAAATAGATAGAGTAGTTGAAGAAGAAAGTCTAAATGTAGGTATAGTTAATAAGTAACATTCTTTAAATAGTGAAGAAATTTAGTATCAGCAATGCACAAGCCGGGACTGGTCGCCCTTACATGGATCCCGAGACAGATTTTAATGTCCTTAATTTTCTAACAATCTAGAGGTTACATTAGGCTCTGATAATCTTTATACATAACAAGAAATGTCTATTTAATCGCGTAACAACACTAGTAGCTTTACAATACAATTAACTATCTCATGTCAACGCCATTGAATATTATATTCATTAGCGCATACAACAACGTGATTAGCCCAAATGGAATATTAATACAGACTCCATTCGGTCGTGATTTAAAATATTAGTATTAATGCCTCTTGCGGTTGACTGGCATATTTAGCTTAATTGAAATGCATATGAACCCCAGCCAAAATTATCTATGCAATCAGGAACTAAGTCCGATTTAACCATACCGGTTTACGGATTTATCTTATCCGTGAATAAGCGGGTAATTAATTTTGCGTTTTGGACATTAATTGTGCTGTATTGAATTCTGCTTTAATTTGTTATTATAATTATGTCCTTTGTGCAGTTTATTATCCGATAAATATTGATATGAATGAAATGGTTATTTAATTGTATTTGTTTGGTCGTTGGAATTTCATGGATTTTATTTAATCATTTCGTTCTATGAGTTTGCATTGATTGACGAGAATTATTTAAATGTATGGATTATGATATTTGTTATATTCAATAGGTAATATAGGTAGGTACTAGTCTCATATTATAATATTTATACACGACTGTTTTTGAAATATTTTAGGAAAAAAACCAAGTGACTTACAAAGTGTTGTAATAAAAAAAAGTAAAATGTTAAACACACAATTGTTTCCTAAATTGTTTCTTACGAGAAGTTCATTAAATTCAGTGTCGTTAAGCAAGGAGGGCGAATCATCAGAATGGACCCAATTGTTGAAGAAATCTACCAACACATGTATCTATCTTCAACCTACCATTTCCTTTTTGTGAAGTTTTCAAATTGGTCATGATATAAATAACGTATAATATTTTTATGCCAGTCACAATAAGTAGCCATACACATAATTCTCCCATACATTTTCATGAAATGCTGAAATGCAATGGGTCGTAAGTAATTTTAGTGGCACACGGACAGATGGACAAGTCGAAATCCTTGTCACATGCAGAATCATAAAAGGCAATCCATAAAAGTCATATCCGTCGATCGGAATCATAGTTTCGCTGAACATGTATGAGTGTTACATGAAGCGGGACGTGATTGGTGGAAAAGAATCGGGTACGACGGGTCTCGAGGTTTCCGCACATTGCTATGATCAATGTCCCGTCAAATTGAATATTTGCAGTAGATCGTCTAAGATAGATATTGGCCACATTAATATATGTACCAGTACATATCTAGTATCTTATATACTGGTACACATATGTGTTACGGACAAAGGAGACAAATTTTGGAGTTCAAATAATCTTGATCCTTTGACGTAATCTACTAAAAAGAGATGATTTGAAAAGTTGTATTCCAATCGATATAATTATAGTCTTCAATCTTACAAGTGTAAGTAGTAATAACCAACAGGCATTTTTTAGCTACCATAATACACAAAGGCTTTGTTGCATAATCGCTTTACTAATTGATGTGCAAACGCGATTTGCCTCTTAACCCCAAATGAGCATGCGGCGTGACGTCATCACGTGTCTCATTTGTGTCTCAGTCACGCTCTACATGCCCGGTGATTGGATGTCGATCATATATGAGCATACAACTAAGATTGTAATCACTAGCTATAGTCTGGACAAAGCTTCGCCCGACGTAACATACCAGTACCAAGGCTTCATTATCGGTCGGCGATAGCCGGAACCTCACAAATGCCCGCGGTTATACGTTAATATAGACTATGAATACTCGAGTAGGTACCGTAATACAGTTCAAAGTACATGAGAATAATGTTAAGTGTAGTATTTGTGAGATAGTATAATGTTTGGTACATTTTTATGGGAGTTAAGCATATACTTATAACGTTTTTGGCAGCGGGCAGCTTGCCCAGAGCGCGAGTGCTGCAGTCGTCGGATCCAAGACAAATATGTCTGGATTATGTTGTGCACATTCCATATGTATCTGCTGACGGTAATTTATATTTACGTTTGTTTCGTTCAGCATTTAAGTACACAGCATTTTAGGTCGTCTCCATCGTTAGCGTCTATAACATTTTATTGTTATTTTTATGCAGATGTTAAAATATAACTAAGAATATGGGAAAAGTTTTGTAGTTTTCCAAAGATCTTTGAAGCTATATTTACGTTTATTTTAAAACGCAATATTTGAAATAGGAATGTAAAATTCTGAATAAATCAAATATGGTTTTTTGATAGCGTTCTGTCACCGCTGCTCAGGTGATACAAGTTATCGATGTTGATATGTTGACCTTTGAATAATTGAAATTGAATAAAGTATTTAATCAAATTAAATTCCTTATTCAAAGTTCAACGTTCAAAGTTTTTCATAAATAATAAAACTATGCAGAGGATCCTATATGATTAAAATATGTGCTAAAACGAAACTATGTAGAGGTTCCTATTCGAATAAAATATGTGCTAAATTTTACATATTTTGTCGTAGTTGCGTTGGAGGCTGGTTGCAGTTGGGCAGCGCGAGCGCAGTGCCAGCGGGCGGCGCGGCCGAGACACGGCTATGTGGTGCCAACGAGCGGTACACACCGCCCGTCGTGCTGTTCGCCGACCATGGCGCTTCTACTTTAGAATTTAGGTAAGTATATATATATTATATTATATTAAGTTCCTATATCCCCTAGGTGGGGCAGAGGGCTTCCACAGTATTTTTCCATTTGGACCTATCTTGGGCTATGTGCTTAATTTCGGACCAGGACAGTCCTATCCTCCTTATTTCCGCCGCCACTGTGCGCCGCCACGTTTGCTTAGGACGGCCAACTTTTCGCCTGCCTTGTGGTGTCCACTCTAGAGCTTGTCTTGGTATGTGTGTGGGACCTCTCCTGAGGGTGTGCCCTATCCATGACCACTTTCGGCGTGTAATTTGCTTGTCTATTGGCATTTCCCGGCACGCCTCCCACCCTCCCAGAATTTAGGTAAGTACTCTTTAATATTTTAGTTATTAAGCACACATGTTCATACATAGGCAGACGTAAGCCTTTATCATTACCTACCAATCTGACCTTTGGGTGATGCAGATATGAGTAAAAAACGGTGGGCGCAAGCAGCAAACAATGAATTATTTTAAAGACAAATACTTAATATTTAATGTGTAAGTTTTAAATAAATACAATATATAAATAGAACACTAATAATAAGACTTTCCAGCGCAAGCACTCAGAAATCCAAATATAAACCTAGTTATTGCTTTAAAAGTTTATGTATCCACATTACGTCACTAATTATGAAAAAAAGAAAAAAAACAAAAAAAACAGCAAGTCGACACACTACCTTAAATTACAAATAAAAGGGTCATTACCTTCTCAAAATGCCTACTAGGTTGGCACTGTAAGGTAAACTTAGTTTAAAGGGGCTGCTCTCAAAATTCTATTTTTAACTTAATTGCTCCTTAATTTGTATATTTAGGTTCTCGATAAGCCTAAAAGCAGTGAAAGCGCTCATTTTGATAACAGCAACCTTTACTTAGTCAACCTAATTTTGTTGCTACGTTAGTGTATTTTGCAGACCCATATACATAACGGTATCAGAATAAACTCATTATTTGCGGTAAGCCGCTGCGCTGCGGATGTCAGCATGGGCACAACGTTATCCTCCCCTATGCCCGGAGTTTGCTATTTAAAAGGTAAACGTGTAGATTCATCGATCATTAAAGGCAACTCGTTAAGCAATCCAGTGTAGTCGCGCGGTGGTAATGAATCCGACCAAAATGAACAATAATTAATTACATTTTCATCCGCTAATGGGAGCGGCAGGCACTCAAATGAGCATTATTTCCGGATAGTGAAGCGATGCGGCCGCGTGGAGCATTTCAGAATTTATCTCCATTTGCAGTTCGGTTCGGAAACGCGAATTCCGGTAGTGAGCGGCAGTCGGAATCGGAACAAAAGGTCGTCACAGCGGAACCGGTAATGCTCGATTCGGAATTGTGGCCGGTTGTCAGGGAGTGCTGCAAATGCTCTTGTCAGCTGACGACGTTGAATTGCTTGATTTTATGAACTTGTACTAGCGCTCCGCTCGCTCGCTTGGAGCTCAGAGCGCTGCTGTGGTTCACATTTTATGTCCTTTATATATCGTGCACTGAACTTTACATTAAAGCAATAACTCAGAAATTAATTGTTCGTTTAATAGCCAGTTTAATTGCAAGATATATTTATAGACTTAGCTAAATAACTGATCTCGTACTTCAATATAAAAATAAACACGGAAAATCTAATGTTTTATTTATCGTTAGTACCTTTTGCTGTTCACGAACCCTTCTCACATATCAACAATTTATAAGCGCCTGTAATACAGCCTTTGTTACCAGGATAACAGAAAAGACTGTGAGGTCACAGTTCCTCGCGTTCTTCAGTTTCACGTCGCTAAGTAATACCCAAGGCGTTGGGTTTCACCCGAGGGGCGGCTCGCGGATACCCCACACAGGTAAATATAACCTAGAAACATTAAAAATGTACTGTTTTCTTTGTAAGCACCGGTTAGGGAGAATTCAACGCTTGAAATTGTTTCTGGAATTATTCTTATTCGCAAACAGACCCATTATTTTAAATTGGTTCCTAATTAATTTTAATTGGATTTGAATCTAGGAAATTCAGAAAGTTTGCACCTTATATTTACGCTGACGCTTGAAGTTTCAAAGGACATTTTTACTTGAAAATCGTCTTTGTAGATTTTCTATTGCAATTTATTTCTGGGAAAGGAGTTTAAAGAGAATATACGGAAAATTGGTCTTTAAGAAAAATAATGGCGGCTCGCTAAATAATTCACCTGCACAACATGGCTGTCAGTTTTTGTTACAGTGTTGGGGTTCTTTTGTCTAACAGTTGAATTATTGCTAATTAAAGAGGTCATATAAAGGACCGGACATGATTGCCTATTCTTTGTCTAGCCGTTTCTCAAGGCCCCTTGAAGGAGGAAGGGAGCTTCCCTAACAAGCAGATGACCATTTCCTCCTTATTGTGAAGGTATAATAGTGGTTTCCGGATTTTCGTCCTTAGTCTATTGTGATACAAGAATTATTTCTTCATTGTTCAGTAGGAAACCTGCTACCAACTATCTATAAATATTTAGTTTTATAACCTAAACCTATTAAAGCAGATCTTTTCATCATAAAATTATCACAATCGTCTGGTTCTCCCATTTCTCTGTTCAAATACGCTTAAAAAGGGTTTCTAATGAAATAAAAACTTTTTAAGTGGCGAAATTTTAATGAATGGTGTCCGTCATTTTTATGCGTACTATGTAAAACTGGAATATGATTCTAATGAATCCAGTTCTACCTCTATTTTTCTCTATTTTGTCCTAACAATTTTCAATAGTTTTACTATATATTTTTACAAATACTGAATACCCATTTCATAGATTTGAGTAACTAATTATCTCGTCGTCAGTATATGTATTTTGTTTATTTAACAAATCACTATAGCATCAAGAGAGACACTGATTATTCCGATTTGGCCTTTAACTTTCTTAAATTTTGTCTTAAAGAAACCTTCTTCTGTCTTACCTAAAACAGTACTTGTATAAAAATAGGTATCGGAATCGGTCAAGCCGTTCACGAGTGATGTCATAACCAAAGGAAATTAGGATTTTATTTTATATAGGTACTTACATATAAACATACATATATCTAGAATGTATTCAAATTGCAACAATAAACCAAATGTTCATATTGATATAGTTAGTAAATAAAGCCAAGAGTGTCCCGATGTTAGCGTTATAACAAGAAGATGGCATCAACTATAGGATAACTGTCTTGTCAAGATATTTTCGGAAGTAGCGTGCCGTAGGAGACCCTCGTCAGAAGTTGCCTTATAATTATGTTCGTATACTACCCATAATATTGCGTCATATCTTTATATATCAGTTACTTGTTACACGTCAAATGCACGCCCTATTGAGTAGGTAGCTTTCCCCAGTTTGTTATTGATATATTTACCGAATTCTTTTGAGAGACAGGTAAATTACAGAGGGACTTCCCTCTTAGTACGAACGTTACAAACATGTTGTTGGAAATATTTTTGTATTAATAAACATTTTATATGTTTAGGGTCTAAATATATTAGCTTAAATGATTTATTCCATTTTTAAAACTACAGCCTTGAATTTCTTGTGTTTTATTGACTTTTTTCTTACAGATTGCGACTGGTTATACCAAGACGTATCGTGTCGGGGTTCTGGAACCTGTGTTCTGGCCAGTCCGGGGTATCCTGGCCTCTACCCACCACACCGACGCTGTCGCTACCTCTTCGCCACGAACTCCGTTCACACTCGCGTCAAGATCATTTTCACTTCTATTTTGCTACCAAGAAAGTAAGTAAATTAACGTGTCTATAAATACCTAAAATATGCTCAGCACTTTCAGGAACAAGGAACTGAGTATAGCTCTAAACTATCGACTCTATTTAGATAGGCAAAAGGTCCACATCATTATGTAAACATGCAAATGAATATGAAAGCAAGAATCTCATACGAAGTTGGCTGTGGCGCAAATCTGTGTGTAAGAGTGTTTTCTCACACGAAACGATGTAGATAAACTTTATTTATATAATAAAAGCCATTATCCCTGTCCTCGGTCAACATACTTAGCTGAAGTAGCTTCGTGAACCAAACCGCTAATATATTTCGAGGTCAAGTCACCAAAGTTCACGAAACTTGACAACGAACTTACCTTACCCCAATACCAATCATGCGACGTTTCCGTCTTACGATTACGAACTAGAAACTTTTCCAGAAGTACTTATTTAAATTTATGAGGTATTAACAAATGCGGATGGCTCACAAAGAAGGCGCCATATTGAGGTTCTCTTGAAAAGGGTTTCGAAGGGATACCGGCTTGCCTAAATTGAAAAGAGCTGTTGATAAGTCAGGGATACCCATGAGGGTAGATGGATCACATATTCTACCAAATAATATTACATATATTATATTATTCATAATGATAAATGTATGTTAACATGTTTGGAAGTTTTCAAAGGATTTCATTCGTTATTTTAAAGAAAAGACCATTCTATTATGTTTTAGTTGGAATTTATTATTGTGTGGCATATTTAGGTCATTTTTGTCAAAATTATGAATAATGTTATTGACATTTTCATTAGACGACTAATAATGTGGGTATCAATATTGAAATTCCGTAAATTCTTTTAGGGAAAATGAAGTACAACTTTGGGATGAATTGTAAAGCAGCTATTTTAGGAAAGAAAAAAATAGCACAATTAATGTGTTTTAAGTGAACATTAAGTTAAATGGGGATGTCAGTCAGAAGTCTTATTAACGCTATCTTATTCTGTTGGTAATTGACTGACGAACGTAAACGACTTTTTTTCTTTTTACTTGTTTATACGCTATTTATAAGAAATTAAGCGTTGTTTTCTTTTAAAATTACTTAATTTAGGAATGAATCTTTATATATTTAGTTCAAGCATTCTGTCTGTTTGTTTATATTCCACTTTTTTGAAAACCATAATATTCATCTTCCATAGTAAACTTCCTATTTCCTTAACTTTTACCATTTTCTTTTATCAAACTTCTCATATTATATTTTCCGTCATGTCAAATCCCCATAAAATTAATACTTACTTTCACTACACGACTGTGTTTGAAATAATAATAACAGTTCCTATCTAGTATTACTCGCATAAAGAAACAGTCACGATTTATAAAAAAAATATCACTTTCAATCTTTATTTTTAATAAGCATGTATGGTTAACTTTCTTTTGACATACTTATCACTTGTTAAGAACTACCTATGTCTAAATGAACTAAGGAAACCTACTGATCAGTATGATTATGTTAGGCATACATGTGCTTAACACGACCTCCTTAGATTGGAGACGACTTTAAAACTTGACACAAAACCATAACCACGCAACTAACACTTCTAATGTAATGCGCATACGTGTTATAATTGTTCATTTCTCACTTATCTCATATGTCATCATTATCATGAAGCATCATTAAGTGATACTGAAAACGAGCACATCATTGTAAATCAGTCAACAGTGCCGCGAGCCTGCCCTGTTTGTACAGTATGGTACAGCGAGGACCATTTCCAATAATTACGCAGTTAATGATTTCACAGTCAGAAATTGAAGGTGAAAAGTATTAAGTACTGGCTTTTACCATCGGCTTTGCTCCCGTCATTGACACCTACACTATCTACCCTACTCTGCCTACCCTAAACTATCTACCCTAACCTACCCTATATTCTTCTTCTGGTTCTAAACTACATACATCCGAAAAATTAATAATGAAATCAACATCGGTTCAGCCGTTCTTGAGATACATATACTTAGTGCAACTAATACGATTTTCTTTCTTTAATATTTATGTATAGATTTGAATGTATGTTTTTTATTTAGGTAATAGTTATCAACGATTTCGCACGGTGTACCCGTGAGAAACCTATGCCGATACTAAATTTCTCCACTACTCAATGAATGTTATTATCCATATAAATATTCCTCTTCAATTACCCTATCTAGTTTAAAAAAACCGCATCAAATTCCGTTACGTAGTAATAAATTATTAAGCATAAATAGGGAAGTAAGGACAGAGAAAGCGACTTTGTTTTATATTATGTTTTGTTTGAGCAAACTCGTTTCGTATATAGTGGCACACGGCGATTTTTTATTCAATATTAACAAAATTTGTGTAATTAGTAATATACACAAAATTAAAGAACTTTTAAGGATCATATGATAAAAATACGTAGTTCTAAACTAATATGACTAAACAGCATTATTTGTTTTTTTTTTGATGATATAAGTGAATCAATTTGAACATCCTGCTAATATTTTAAAACGCGAAAGTTTAAAAGAATTGGTAGATATGCTTGTTATTCTTTTACGTAAAAGTTTTGAATGGATTTTAATGAAAATTGATGAAGAAATAAATAATAGCTTCACGTATGTCAGGCGGAGCGCCTAGCTCAAGCTAGTTGAAAATATTAGTATCGACGAAGTTTAAAGTATCTTGATCGTTTAGAGTATTTAGAGTAGCCATATATTCTAGCTAATGAAGCAAACTGGTGTTAGCTTGCTCAAACGAACATTCGCTATGAAAACTTACTTATCTAATAGAACTGCGACCTAAAAGTTGAAGAACTAAAAGTAGTGACCTCGTTTACTGTACTACCCACTAGCTATTGTAACTCAGTTTCAGTATTGAAGCTTCACATAATTAGGGCAGCGCTTCACCAAGATTATTCAAAAGGTAATATAGGACTTAGCAACCTTTGTCAGAGATATAGCCGAGTTACGTCAAAGTCAAGTCAAAGCAATTATCTCAATTAGACCGTTATTGTTAGATCTTTTGAGTCGTCAAGAAGTTTAAATGTTATCTGTATTTTGTGAAAAAAAAGTTGGAAGTGTCTATAAAAAGAAGAGCGGCCGTTACTCTGTGATTAGTCCTGTGTTTGAATGTAATTAGTGTCCTTTAGTGTCGCTTTCTCGTCTCCAGTGTTAGTTAAACATTACAAAAACAATGTCTCTGTGATTGGTTTTTAAACTCTAAAATTACGCGAATAGTCGTACTTTTCCCGCTGACCTATACCTCAATAATTGTTTTTCAGAATCGTTAGTTAGAAATAGTTTGAGGTCTGTAGGTAAGTACGGTGGTTAAACTTGAAAAAGTTACTATGATGTTTCACTTGAAAAGTTTTAAAAAAACGTTTTAAAAATGTCAATTATAATTGAGAAAACTGATAAAATTAGGAATTAATTTACAATATCCTTGCTTAAAAAAAACTAAAGTGATGTTTATGACATTTTACTTAAAACAGACATAGAGTACGTCGTAAGCGCTTGAGGTTGTTACCCTATAAATTATTAGTGCTGTAAAAACTGGAGCAAATTACACACCAAGTAGGCCAGTACCATTATCGGATCAATAGTAATTTAGCAAACAAACCATTCCTTATGTGTTGTTATCAAAAGGAGTTTACTTATCATTCATATTTAGTTTTCTTTTTTCATCATCATCATCGATATTACGCGCCAGTCCACTATGGAAATCCACCACGTTTGGTCAAGGCGAATTGGCGATTTCAAACTTATAACTAGAAATTAAAGTCCTGGTTTCCTCAACATGTGATATAGCGATTTTCATTAGAAGCACACTTACGAAATAAAAAAATTCTTAGAGGCCCGGAGATTAGGGCGCCCGCTTCTCATGCATGAGGGTGTAGGTTCGAAAACTAGCAAGTACAAATGTGACTTTTTCCGAGTAATACGTACTTTCTGTGATTCCTTAGACACCAATGTCGAAGGAACTGACAGACGCTGAAGGTAAACATCGTGAGGAAACCTGGACTTATAATTTCTAATTATAAGTTTGAAATCGCCAACCCGCATTGAGCAAGCGTGGTGATTAATGCTCTAACCTTCTCCGTGTGAGAAGAGGCCTTTGCTCGGCAGTGGGCTAATAAGTGGCACTTATAGGCTGATAATGATGATGATGAATATATTGGTAACAACTTAGTTATTGCGGGTGTCCATGGATGTATAGCTTACTATCAGGTGCATAAAAAACTACATTTAGTATCAAAATTCTCCAAAACCGGTTCAGTAACTTAAGTATATAAAAAGTATCTTCCAAACAACATGATACATATTTCCGTCTTTTATAATGTCGTTCAGAAAACGCCATTGCAGTCGATTCGACACACTGAGTCAAAATTGACGATAAAGGCTATGTACCTAGTGTTCTCGAGTATTTTTATCAGCCCGTATGAAATCCACACGTTTTGAAAGCCAGCGAACAATCGTTCCAGTAAATAAAAGGATCGCCATCACCCTTCCATATCTCCCTTCCACCCGTGTGAGTTTGCCAACCATTTTCACTAAATGCTTTTCTGTATGTGTGAAGCGAATTTTCAATGATTCATTCTCAATTTAAATAAATAATCCAATTACGTGCGTATCAATTGTTCTCATTCGACCTATTTGTTTTTAAGTTATTCGTTTAATTTCGTGCTTCTGGTAGTTTTTGTGGAGCACCTGGACTAATTTTTAGTCGTCAGGAGAGTATTTGTACATTTAAGTATTGGTTGGACAAAACGACTATATTATCAGACTAGATCTATCTTTTATAGATAATGTACGATTTCTATAAGGATCACTAAACTATCACTATATCTATCACGATCACTAACTAAGGATTAATGATAATTATAATCACGAAACTTTAAAGGTCAATAAAGTTCTAACCTCCACTCGCAGCCGGCTTTATAATTAGGAGGCCGTTTCCTCTTTCTGCAAAGCAGTCATGCTAGCTAAGGAGGACGTGGAGTGCGTCAGGGAACGATCCTATTTACGCCCAGCACTTACAAAATATCCATTTCTAGTCCCAGCTATTCAGACAGACTGTTATCTGCTAGTAAAATAATTCAAGGTTTCATTTTATGTAATCGTCAACCGTTTTACCTTTCTCTAGTAAATAAGAGTATCTGTAGCGAAATTTAATTTTATCCTAAAATCTGGAGTAAACGTTTAATAATGTATTTTGCTGTTACTTTGGTAGTGAATAATTTATAATCTACTTTATCTAGGCATTCTACTTATCAAGATAAAAGGCTTTTTAATGTTTAATCTTTACAATCTTAATTGGTCGACGTTTCCAGAAAAAGACTATAGCGTTCTGGTTTTAGAAACGTTAATTTCAATTTAGTTTAGTGAAGTAAATAACATGAAAGTTCGTTGTTTATAACACTTGGTTTCTGAGCCTAATTTAACGGTAACATATGCATAATTATGTTAATATTATAGCTTTATTTAAGGGTCCGCTACTTGTATTAAAAGGGCATTAAATTAGGAGTTTCAGTACAAAACATAAACTTGATTAGCATGCGTGGCGTACTCGGCTTAAGGGTAATTGCTATATCCTTGCGTCGTGTAATGCGATCTCAGCCGTCTTTAATCTTGCCCATTTGACTATCTCCGTAATAACAGTTCGCACACTTACATAATATGTTTGTCATTACGTATTTTCACACAAAATTATTTGCAAAGCATTTAAGCCATATTAAAATACTCCCTTCTTGCTTCCTATCTGTAATTGAAATAGAAATATTTCATGCTCAAATAAATCTGAATTTTATTCAAATTGTTTATTGGAAATTCTAAATGTTACATATAGGTGACGTTGCTCCCAAAAGCTTGTATTTAATTTAGAAATTCTCGATATGTTTTTTAATGTTTCTATTCGATTCCGAGAAGTATAGAGAAATGGATTTGTCGATCGATAACAATTGTTTAAATTTATAAAAACTAATTTAAGCGATTATTTAAACACAAGTAGTAGAAGGAAGTATAAAAACCTACAGTTACATACAATTATTTAGGTTAATATAATTGACTAGACTTAGAGACGTAAGACGTTTTAATTTATATAATTATGTGTGTAGTCATTATTTTATGATAGCAAATATTGTCACAGAAAAGTTTAAACTATATTGTTACTAGAAGAGTCCCGTATACCAACCGGAATTGCTGGTAAAGCGCAACTATACACCGCAGCTCAGAGCAGGAGAAGGAACAGGGTGACTTTTGATCAGTGTCTGTCTGTCTCTGACTTTCCCTCTCGCCTCTCAAGGCAATAAAGGAAACAATGATTTTTACGCTCAAATAAAAAAAATAGATAACCCTATCTAATTCACCAATGCAACAAAACTTTCTTTAGATTGATATGGCCGTTCCATATAAGTATTTTAGTTCCAGTAACCCCCAGTTCTATAAATCGAGCCAGACTGCGCTAGAGAAATAAAAGTACTATCTTTGTGCAATACGTTTTCCAGGATGTACTATGTTCACACGAAGTGCAGCACTTTAGCCACCAGATTTAACGCAAACACAACCTCTATAAAGTTAACAAAGAAAAGCTAAAATGTTTGATGTCTTGTAAATGTATTATTTCATTTGATACTAGCTTCCACCCGTAGCTTCACCCGCGTGGTATGTTGATAAAATGTCCTATTCCGGAGTACTTATATCCTATGCCTGTGCCAAATTTCATACAGATCCGTCTAGCCGTTTTGGCGTGATTGAGTAACAAACATCCAAACATCGTTACTTTCGCATTTATAATATTAATAATAAGTAAGATACTGAGGAATTGCTTATCGAGATTTAGTAATGTGGTATTGAATTCGTCGCAAAAATTGAAAATTGTATTTTACTAAAAAATGTCATGCATTTTTCGAAGTTCAGAGTCGTAGTCGGCTTGTTTTCAATAAAAACATTGTATCGAGAACGAAAACATACTACATAGATTGCAAAGTACATATCTCTCGGTCAAACAAAATAAACTGTACCTTCTGCTAACTCAAAGATATTATCGATATATTATTTTTTATTTTAACTTGCCTCTGTGACTATAAGAATGGAATACATATTTTTACTGATTGCAAAGAATGCGAGAAAAACGATGATCATCGAAGATCGTCAAATATGCTCGAATGAATTTTTGTCGTGTGCAAAATTCTTTTTACGATTTCTATCTTACACATTGTTTGGTTTTGTTTATGAGTTACGAATGTGTGTGTTACTCGTTTATCTGATGCACATTGAATAACAAACCAACATACAATTTTTTATACATATCTATGGTAAGTAGTTACAGTTACCCAAACAAACAAATGTCTTAAACTGTAACCGATTATGACCCTTGTTATTACTTACTGACTGATTCAATGAACTTAATATAGCCTCAAAATTAACTAACATAATTATGAACGATTTATACTGACAGTCTTGCTTTTGCTAAAGATATAGGTAATGTAATTTACATAATAGTTTATTTGGGAAAAAAATGGTGTTCTTTCCAACTTTTTTATTTTAAATGTGTATGTTTTCTGTCCTTTAAAAACTTCTACATATGTTTTAATATTAAATCAGTTCAGCCGGTCCCGAGTTTGAGCGAGACAAACAGACAACATATTTTTAAATACCTAAAAGTAACAATCCAAAATTATTGTGTCCGTACTCAAATGTGAAAAGGAAGGTTAATAAACCTTGGTCCTAAAAATACGATTTCTAGTTGCGGTATAGAGGTCAGATGGGAAAAGCAGTTTTCCTTATAGCATTTTTCTTGCCCACTTTGGAAGGTATCGGGTTACTTAAGTGAGCGGGGCATTATAACCGATGTAGGAAATGGTGGGCATTAGCAAGCGCGTGAGGCTATCTCCATGCATGATACAGTTACCTCCTTATGGGATTCAGCTTTTAATAAATAATAAGAGTGTTGATGATTTTAAAACGAATTTATTTAAATCTAATTTAAAGTAGGTTATTCCTTGGTCGCGTGGGCCCAAACGTAACAGTCGATCAAGTGCTCTCGCGGGTAGTACCCGGATCAGACTAAGCGTGTTATTGGTTTTTCGAAAATTTCTCAGTAATAGCGCTGGTTTTGGAATATAGATTTTTAAAATTGATTGTTTGCTTGCAAATAGATCACCAGCCAATAAACACTCCCTCCTACCCAACCCTGGGTGGGAGAATGCATTTGATGACTTTCCACAAACAAAAAAAAAGATTTTTTTTACTTTTTCTAGCCCTACCGTCCCGTACCGGTTTGCTATGTTTTTATAATAACTATCGTGAGACATACTAAATTATCAGTAGGCTGCGCGACGTCGCCGCGTCCGCGCACGCTGCTCATGAGGAAGAACCCCTCTGTGGTTCGAAACTAGTAGAGCTTTTCTCAACATTTACACGTGAGTAACCCGCGGATTTTTAGTTAAAAAAAAAGATTCTTAATTAAAGCTTACATAGTTTAGTTACCGTGTTGAAAAAAAAAAACGAGAGAATATTTTACAAATAAGTCTTTCTAAATAAAATGTGAAACCATTATGCCTAAGCTACCGAGAAAAGTAGAAAAAGAAGTTCTCACAAATTCATGTAATTCTGGGTAAGTTATAAACAGCATTAAAAAGTGCACACATTACCTTAAACACGTGCAATAAAATCACTTAACAAGTAGGTATCTCATACATAGGTACGCTCCGGTTTGTAAGTCACATCTAGCAATCCTATTAGTTCTGTGAACAGCTCTTATCATTACGAATCAGTGTGTGCAGAGCTAACGTTCCTTAAGCGTATGTTGCCCTAGTACGTTGCACCATTTCCTCGACACATTATCGTGGTACTTTGTTGAAATTCGGTCACTCTAACCAGAATCCTTTGAATTTGTTTTATGGGATAAGTCGGCAAACGAGATGACGAATTACCTGATGGTAAGCAATCGGCGCCGCCCATGGACACCCGCAACACCAAAGAAGTTACGAGTGCGTTGCCGGCCTTTTGGGGATAGGCGTTAGGGATATAAGGATCTGGAAGTTATTGGGGAGTGGGAGGGATTGGGCCTCCGGTAACCTCACTCACACGGCGAAACACAACGCTGAGGGTTGTTTCACGCCGGTATTCTGTGAGGCCGTGGTATCACTCCGGTCAAGCCGACCCATTCGTGCCGAAGCTTGGCTCTCCCACACTTAAATAAACATTTTGATAAATTATTTTATAGTTTAAGTAATTAATATTATAAAAACTTTTCGCTTCTCAATTTGCGATTTGCAAAAATCTTACTAATGTTATAACATAACGTGAAAGTTTATGAGAATGTATGTCTGTTACTTTTTCACGCCAAAACGTCTGGACCGATTTGGTTGAAATTAGGAATGTAGATAGGTGACACCCTGGTTTAATACATTGGCTGATTTTTATAAACGTACGACGTGGGTCAAGCCGCAGGCGGAAGCTAGTCGAATATAATAGTATGTCTACGAATTATTTTGGTGTGATTAGTAATATTCTTATCTAGTTAAAACTTAATTTAATCCCACGATCTCTTAGCTGGACCTCCTCCCAAGAAAACGTGAACAAGAATAATAAACTGTACAAGATATATGTATATCTACAACTCTCATTTATTATAAAAACAAAAATGGTATCATTACAGAAACCACATTTTTCTCAATCTACTTTAAAATTAATATGAAATCCGTATACAAAAGCTTCGTAAACGAGGCCTTATAATCCGTTCGGAAACTATACAATTAAACAATTTATTTATTTAATGGCGAATCAACAGCTACCAATTTTAAATTTTAAGTATAACTTTGTACCACATTAGCATGTTTTCCTGTATCGTGGGTGCATTTACAAACATACAATTTCACATACACATAACACCCAGACCTGAAATTCCAATTTATAGATTACAAGAGTCCTTCCGTACAGGAATCCAACCCGCGACACTTTGCGCTGCACTCGGTTCCCCAGCCATCGCGCCAACCGTGCATTTATATATTAATTTAACAAACAGATTGTAACACACCCACTTACAGATTTACATGAATAGTGACAAAATTACTAAAAATAAAAATAATTTGCTTTTGCTAAATAATCACTACTTAGTACAAAACAAAATCGTTTTCTCTGACCTGTAAACATACATAATGTTTTAATCTTTTTATTAAACAACACGACAGATTTTGAGGCGCTTGTTATTTAATAAACAGATTGATTGTAGAGGATGTTGTATTTACATAAAAACATCTATTAAATATTTGGTAAAAGTATCGGCATTGCATCCTTTGAAAACCGTATCGCTAGTAACATTTATACCTACAAAATTATAAAGCTGCAAAGTTTGTTTATTTGAACGCGCAATACTCCAGAACTATTGGTTCGAATTGAATCATTGCTTTTGTGTTTGTTAGTACATTTATCGAGGAAGGTTTTAGACTATAAAACATCACGCTACCGCGAGTGAAACTACGCGACAGAAGCTAGTTATGTACATATATAGTTGAATAATATTGTTATGTTCTAATACAATGCCGTTTCCACAGTCACTGTAATACGGATTATTTGACACTGCGGGCGGGTAGCTCGCCCTCTGCATCCCTGCTTGGCACTCTCTGCTCCGAGCGTACAGCTACACTCGAACATCCTGGACCAAATCTCCTGCTGGAATTCAAGTAAGATAACTTTGATAAAAACAATATATTTCATTATGTTTCATACTTAATTGTGATTTATTTTGTGTGAAGTAATTTTTATATTGATTTAATTTTTTCGTGTCATGTGGTCGATGTGGGTTATCGGTTTAGCTTTTAAAGTATACAACAAAAATCATGGCATGTCCTTTTATCTAAAAGTTTTTTAAAAATTGTATGTACAAATGTTTCCAATCAGGCGTTTACCTATATCGATGTTAAACTAAACTGTTAGACCCTAGTACAAATGCTTTCATATTTAAATATGATACGATTCTTTAAAACTATTTATTCTCTCCTACAAGTGGATCTTAACTAGATAAACTTGACTGTTACAACATAGGGATGGTGACATAACTAGCAAAAACCTATATATCCTCATCAGACCCTTTTTCTAAGTCTACAGAGACAAGAATCAATCAGAGATGATTATAGTTAAAGAATACAACAGTTCGAGATTGAAGCCTACCCTCACAAGCATATTAATCTCAATGACAGAATCAATGTAAATAATATTTAAATACCCTCCTTACTAGTGTTATAATTAATTCGATAATAATCAATATTCAACAATAGTCATAACATTTCATAACAAACAAAAACAGAAAAATAACCTAAACGTATTATAAAAACAGAGTTCAAAAGAATAGGTAAGCATCTTAAAATTTCATTTTATTTTCACATCAAACCAAATTTTATTGCTAGAATTATCAAAAGGTGTTTTATTTATAACTCAGTGAGGGACCTAAGCCCTAATTCGTTTCTCGTTAGAGAGCTTCGACAGCCACGATTGAATTAAACCTTATGTAAGTGCCGAAACACGCGACACTGAGTTATTGAAAGGCATTGAGACACATAAATCTAAGAGCAAGCACCACTTTGTATGAGTTTGTTTTAAAGTAAACTGAACTACTATTGAAATTAAGTTCATTATTATATGTCTGTTTGCTTTTTGTGGAATATATGTTGTGCAATTATTATTTTTCTTATGCATTATTACTTTGGCATAAGCTACGTATGTAGTATCTAGAATGTAATTAAGATTTTCTTTTGAATGAAAGATGACACAAACTTATTTCTCATCGAATCAAAGATTTAGTTCTAATAGTCATTCTGAGAAGAGCTGAACATGGAACTCAGTGGCGTGCAATTGAAGAGGCCTATGTCCAATAGTAGACGGAAACAGGCTGATGATGATGATGATGATGATTAGTCATTGTTGCAATAACTTGATCGAACAAACAGTTCATTTTTAATTATATGTAAAATTTTCAACAACAGTTCATTTTTAATTATATGTAAGATACTTATGTCTAACGCGCTTGCGTTCCATAACAATGTATTTAACATTTGTTACGATTTGCACCATATGATTATTTTATAATAATTTATTGTATTGTATCCCTACTAAAAATACGATAAAATATTTATTTTGCATACATAGGCCCTTAGCTTAGAACAACAACGAAACACTTAAAGTCTTTACTATCCAACATACAGTAAACCATTTCAATCGTATATATATGTATATGACCTAAGAAATTCGTTGTACATACATACGAAAGCGGTTCTCTAACATGACGATACCTGTGTTCAGTTCCGGGCCATTAGTACCGCCGTACGACTACAATGGATTTATAGCCAAGCTGGAGTTTATAGAGAGGATCGACAGCAGTGGAGCCCCGCCCACTGTGATGCCCGCTTCGCCGCCCTTAGCTGCGCTTACTCATCATATACAGCATGGTAAGTTATACCATTTATACTATAATATGTATATTGTTATTAAATAAACTTTATTTTTATTTTTCTAAAAGAGCAACGTTGTGGAAAGGCTTGTATCCAGTACTTGACAGAACTAAATAAATATGATACTATGCATATACTTTAATGAACATGTCATAACTAATAGACGTAACAATTAAAACATTTCTCTACTACATTTTTATACAAAACGGGAAAATTCCCTAAGGGTACCAACAGGCGGAAAACTGAAGCTAAAGCATAAAAAAAACTAATCCATTTAAAAATACTAGAAGTTTTTATAATAATAAGCTCTCTGTGAAATAACATGAATAATAGATTGCATCTCCGGTTCGTAAATTCCGTCTGAAATAAAAAGCTATTAATAATAAACTGAGCTGTAACAGTGAATTTATAAAAATGCATTTGTGGTTCATTGTAAAGCCGCAATAAGCTCTTTCCATTCGCTGGTCCTAACAGTGCTTTGCTAGCTTGTTAATTTCAATGAGCAGTCGCATTTTTATTTTAATCCTATTACAACAGTCATAGAAGAATTAAACATATTTGAAGCCCTATTTTACATAACTGTGTTTCAAACAATGGCACAATAGGAATGCAGGTTTAAAATGTTGTATTTTCCTTTTCCTAGCGGATAGAATACCAGTAGATAGTAGTGGAATGACAAATGAAGTGAGTGGGGGAAGCAATGCGAGGGTTGGTTGCGGCGCCACAATCCGGGGCTACGGGCCGGGCGGCGCCCGATCCGGCCACTTCGATTCTCGGGCTGGTCCGTGGCGCTCTCAGTGTGTTATACACCTACTTGGAGCGCCCACCGACGTCGTCCAAGTATCACTATTTAATTATAATTTAAGGTAAGTTAGTTAAGTATACAAATTAACGATTAATACCATAATAAAATTTAGTTGTATAGTCATTGGAGGCTTATTTATTTTGAAAATTTATGTTCGAGACCAGGTTTAAGTGAAACGTATTGTCATATTTGCCCTTTACGTAGAACACATTGTTACAAGTTGGGGCATTTCAATAATCGCGGTATCTTCCTCCTGTAAATTTAATAGAGCGGAAGGAATTTCTATGAGTTGAGATTAGAATCCATATATTTTGTAAATGTATTGCGACCTTCCCTCATAGTGACAGGGCACTCGTTAAGGGACTCGAAATACTGGAATTTCATGAGCATTCACACGCCACCTTAATTAAATTAAAACCTTATACGTTACAAGAACGAGGCAGTGACTTGTTAAAATGTTAAACAAAGGTATATTTAGTTCCGAACTTATTCATGTTTTACGGTTCACCGATTTAGACCGTATTCCCGCTGTTGTTACCACACCGGATTTTAGCGGAGTTTAAAATGTCATATTAAATGAACGAACAACATGTGATTACTTTTAATATAACTATCTTTATCAGTATAATATTGTGTAATTTCACATTGTGATATACTTGAAATGATTTTGTGATTTGTGTACTGTCCCAAAATAGATTTTTCTTCAAAACAAGTGAATGTCGCGACGACATCTTGAGCCCCGGCTTTGTTGTAATGTAACTGACTGTTTCCCCGCCTACTCCCCGGGGTGCAATTGATTGATAGACCCGTCCCTACAAATCATAAATTTATTATTCGAGAATTTAATTTCGTATGTTCAATAAATGTTTTTGTTGAGGGTTTTCCTTATCTGTGTTTCTTACGTAAACGCTTCTAATGAGGATTCGTTTTTCTCTTGTTTGCCTGACAGAACATAATTATATCCGCTGGCGTTGCTACTTGTGTTACCTTACAGTAATATATTCCTGCTTTTAGAATCCTCAAGGGGAATAATTTTGTTGTATCAGGTTACAAAGCTGTCGATCTCATATTGAGATTTTAGAGGGTGTTCACGAATTTGGTGGAAGAGGGGAAAGAGATAGATCCGAGCGTGGGGATCGAGCTCTACTCAGGGTATGTGGACCAGTCGTGAGGGAGGCCAGGGATCCCGCGGGCCGGTTCTTAATACGTCAGGCAGTGACGTCTAAAGGTGCTAACTTAACAATCCTGGTGCGAAGAGCGACTTCTCAAACTCAGGATGAAGAAGAATTTGTTGATGGGGCCTTTGCTTTTCATGATGGTGAGTCAACATAGTAGATATCAGTAAGGCGGCAGATAAAAAAAATGAAAGGAAAAATATTTATTTTCGCTTTCACAACAAGACATAAACAATGATATTTGATGAGTTATGGAAAGTGAAAAAGAAAGGGACCAGACAAAATAATATTCAAAGGCTAAATCCTACTGGTGCTTACTAAGGGTAATGTGAATGTTTATGTGAAGTGTCTTCTGAGTTATGTAAGCGTGACGGAGGCAGTCATCAGTGAGAGGAAAATACAAGACGTATGACGAATATATTACTCACTATTCACGCGTACATGAATAGATAATGTAATTGCAAACGATTTGTTGCGTTTTTCCAAAAAGTTATTTGTTCTTATTGTATCCTTCTTGGCGATTTCCCAACTCGGTTAGTATCGATACAGGATCTTCGGTATTTTCCGTAGACCGTAGAAAAATTTATGTTCGTCAGTACATATATTTTTCTTGTCACGACTTTCAGATAGTAATTTCTAAGAAAATTCTAATAATGCATGTTTCATTTCGTGGTAATAGGTAACTATGTCAAAAAGGTTATAAAATGATCTACCAGAACTCATCAAATACATAATATATTAACTTTTAAGATAGATGGTGTAAATATCTAATCTTTAACTGTAGTGTTCTAAAATACAATAGTACAATTGTCTTTTATTTTTGGTACAGAGCAACACGAAGGAACAGCGTCTCCAGATGCGACGTGTGCAGCCACACACTACGGGCTCTCGTCACCAGCTCATGGAGGAGTTTCCGCGCCCTCACATCATCATATTTTCTGGAATATCGAGGAACGACTCCTCTGCACTCATAGATTTATACCAGCTGCTAATCAAAGCGTAACCATTGAGGTAAGTAGATTTAAAAAAAAACTGTTTTTTTACGACATTGAAATGGAAAGCTTAATATTTGGTCCGATAGAGATACAGTAGAAGAAAGATGATATCTAAATAGATTGAGATATGGTTTATTTTTGTCTGCATAAGTTTATATGATTTTTAAGTTCCTCTAAGTAGCCTCTTAATAAACTTGTGCGCCTTACCATCAACGATTGCATCACTGCTTACCATCAGGTAGGATTGCAGTCAAGCACTATAGCAAGTAAAAAAAAGTTGATATTCTAAAAACATTTAGTGAATGTTCTACCTCATAAAAGAGTTGTACTTACATAACATTTATTTGTGAGCGGAATTTCTCTACTGATTTCAGTTCACACAACTTTACTATTTTTATATTATTTTCACCATAGTGCTAACAACGCTTTTGTTGTATTATGCTGTTAATTTGCTTTCTGCAATGAGACGTGACTTTTGTACCGATGTTTTCTTCTCTGTCCTCGCTTTTGTGGTTTTGACATTTCCTTTTAAATGCAAACGTTATTGTTCTATTTGTCCCATTCTATTAAAACAAATTGGTCTCTCTTAACATTGCCAGTGTCGCATGTCAAAAATAAAAGGACAATTCACCAAAACGAATACCCAGTAGTTCTTTTAAGGAGAATCGAGAGAAAGTTTTGTTTTGCTTTGACAAATATTTTATTATTGTGTTAGGTAATTGCATTGTGGTTGACAGTCTCCATGTTTATAGTGTTTATATCGCTTTGTTTTATTTGTTAGCATTGTCTGTGGCTTCATTGACTTTCCACTTAAAGAAAGTATTTCTTTGGAAACTTCTTTAAAAGTCTTACTTTTACATTCACCTGTCACAGTGTGTTTTAAAATAATTGTGGTTTTCTTAGATCCAACGTTTGGAACGTATGTGGAGCGCCGAGCCGACGGGCACGGTAGGCGCTGGGGGGTGTCGCACGGCGTGTGGAGACGCCGGCTGCGAGTGTCGCTCAAATACACCACTCTACTACCACGATCATGTTGCCCTGGTCGCTGGCGACGGCACGCATCTATCCTGTCTCTGTGGAGACTTTCAGGTTACATATATCTTCAATTAAACCATAATTAAATGCTAAAAACATAGTGGCTATAACTCAAAAATACATAAAAGGTTTTAAGCGGTCACGATTCACCTATAAGTATTCCAATTTTCCAGATGAAGAATACTAAAAATGCTTGAAATACTCAACTCAATACCTGTTCCACTTGGAATACATGATGAGGTGATTTAAAACAAGAACCTATAACTTTATGACGTAACGTCCCTTATTTGCAATTCAAAAAATAACAGTGTTCGACGTGACAGTCATTGGAATTGACGTTCATTACAGTTATCTGAGCGAATGAAATATTCGGAACCATCGACAAGAAAATTGACGTTAATTGCTTGAAATATTAAGGGAAACATTGAGGGTAATCGAAAACGAAAATCAAGGGACCGATACATAATATAGAGTAATGCTGTTTCCAAACAAACGCGACATTTTGTTTTATGAATAAGGTTCTTTTAATATTTCAATTTAAAATAGAATAAGTAAACATAGGATCTCAGGCAAACAGGAGCCAAAATGCATGATCTAATTATTGCGAGCTCTGAATATACGACAACAAATAAATAAATCGTGTTAGTGGAGCCTTATGCTAACACCGGCGAGGACGAGGTACCCTTCCGCCGCGACGCCGCACGCTCAAGCTCCCGCCGGTGCGCCCGCGCCCGCCTGCGGTGCGAGCCGCATAATTAAGTAAGAGGGTTACTATTAAGTATGTAACAGCAATAAAGCGTAGAACGACCACCCGAGCGTATGAGGCCTCCTACAACAGCAAATATGTCGTCTAATAATTCAGTTAGCCTGTTTAAAACTCTTTCATCACAGACACATAAACAAGCTTTCTTATAAGCAAATCAAAGAAGTACCTAATCAAAAATAATAGGTAACTTTATTAGGTAAAAAAAGTATCTAAATTAACGTAAGTAAGTCTAAACAAAACTAAACGCCGCACCGTTTTATTTGTGATTAAGCAAAAATGAATGTTATGTAAACAGAGTCGAAGCAATCAAATATTGTGTCAAGTAATATTTATTCAAAACAGATTGTTTTAGCAATATGTGAATGGGAATTATTTAGATGATATCGCGCATTGTTATTTAACGAAGTAAGGTGGTTTGTTTCCGGTGTATTTATGTTCAATTTATATTGATGTGTTTACATTGGAGGGAGCGAGGAACAAAACGAGGAGATATAATCTGATGCTTTGTTACTTTACATCACGAATGGCGCGCTTAATTTAATTATTAACAGTGCTTTACCCCTGTCGTGGCTTGACGCCATCCGCGCCAAATTGTTACGACCTCACATTGTTCCAAAATGGACTCTGGGCCGCATCTAACCGGGTGGCGGCGCGGTCGTCCGTGTCCCGGTACTCATAAAACATGGGCTAACTGGCGGCATGTCATCCGTCCGCCCCTGTTATTAGTGGCCAGCCGACGACGCGGCTCGGGGCGACAGCTCAGAGACTCGCCCCTGAAAATTCAATTACTTAGTAGCGGCCTACGTATGGCTATTGCGTAGGGTTGCCGTACATCGCTGCACGCTCAATTTGTCAATATGCTGTACACGTACGTACGGTTATCATGACCGAGAGTATCGGATTCGAAGCCCGCTTTTACGTTCTTGTCGACGATAAAAGATAAAAAAACTCCCATACGAGTGAATATTATGTTAGTGTTTATCACAAAAAGTTTTATCATTTATTTCTCATTTTGTATGTGTTTTTTAGTTGCCCTCATTTCAGCTTTAGCGGTTAACATACATTTTAATTTATGGAGGCAATTGTTGTTTGTCACAGGCGGCGTGGTTGCCGGTCGTGGTGCGGAGTTGGACGAGTGTTCGGTTGGAGTATTCCGTCGCACATTACACATATGCAAGCCGCGGTTTTGATTACGCGGCCGCATATAGCTTCAACGATGATGCCATGTGCGGTCAACGCACATACACCACTCACTCCGGTAAGTGCTGCGCCATCAACTCACTCTACCATAGAAACATTACGCCTATTAGGACCATTAAGAAAAATGAATTTGGTATAATTCGATAGAGATATCACGATCAAGAAGCAAATAATCGGCAATTTATCCCCAATGAACTCCATAGACCCCCAATCACATAAAGGGAAAACAAACAGTTCTATTTGACATTCGAGGCGCGTCTCAGACGTTTGGAAAAACGCGTCGGATATTGTTCTCGGTACGCGGCGGGGCGCGTCCGAGGAAATTACGTGCCACGACCCAGTTTCACGCCGCCTAGGGTAACACTGAATCGGAAAAAACCTTGAACAAGATCGTAAAGTTCCAATTACAACGTCGCTATTGCGGTGACTCGCCGTGCTGCCTTAACGTTGCATTATTGCCCACGTAGGTAGATGTTTCATTGTCGCTTTTTCAATTTATTATTTTCTTTTGAAGGACTTAATTTTTCCCTTTGTAGGTGAAATATCGTCCAGGAACGTGTCGGTTACGGGTAGTCTCAACGAGTTTTTCTATCAACAATGCACTTGGGTATTAGACTCCAACGTAGAGCGGCAGTTGTTCATTGACATCACGTCTGAACAGGTAAGCTACGATAAAAAGCTGTTGTGTTTTTTTTTCGTTTTAACTCATCTTCTCGACTTCAATTTATTGTTGTAGATTTTCTAGTGGTGCAAACTCAATTGATACTACAGATAAGATTGTTTTATTTACATAACAGGAAGGCTTTATACATTTCAGTGTCGACTGATGAACGGGTCTGACATACAATATTTTAAGATACTGTCCAAAACTGTGTCTGTTTTGCTGTCCAAAATTACTTTGACCTCCTATTCGTAGAATATGTATTTAGATAATAAAATCCAAATTAATAATAAAAAATATCTGTAAGTCCAAGTGCCAGCTGACATGTAAACGCTTCGTGACTCAACAATGTTGTGGTAGGACAAGTCGTGTGGGTCATGGAACATCACGTTACACGAGTGGTCGGGGCCGGGCGGAGGGACTCAAGACTCGGGTCTGGCCGCCGCCGCTGGGGACCTTTTGTACACGTTCTGTGCCAGGCACAAGAATCACACATACACCCTACCCTGGCGGCTCAACACTGTCGTCATTAGGTATGTATTCTTTTCACACGGTTTCCACTTTAAGAATCATTGATACTTACTTCTTAAAATACAAAACGAAACTCGAGCAATTCTTACAAATCGATGAGGATTACTGTATTTCTTACTCGATTCATATTCGGTAAGCGTGTAAGGCCCGCGTTGTTAGTTCGCTTAGAAGTCAAAAGAAATCTTCCGCCGAGCTTTTAGCGCGATCTAAACAATTTCCAAAAGAAAGAAAACGCCACGATAAATTATTTATGAATGGCCGTCGGCTTTAATACACCAACCAACGTGCCAAATACGTAAGAGCGCATGCTTTTATTTAGCTACTTTCTCGGTACAAGGATCTTTTTTCTTTGTGCATATTAGAGGAAGCCGTAAGAGGGTACGTGGCGTGCTTCCCAAATGACATTTCCACTCGTAAATCCTGAATAACGATGTGTGAAAACATACCTTTGTCGATGAATCGACAGATCGACGCAAAGCGTTCTTTTCGGTGGACGCAGGTGGGATTGTAAATAAAGTTTTTAAGCGCTCTCCGCAGCCTTTCGTGTGAACGGTTTGGTTTTCGACCACACTTTTTCCAGTACGACCTGTGCACTTCGGGTTTTTGATAATAGCCAATAGAAAAACCGTGCCAGAGCAAACTAAAAAGCGTCGCATATTTTTTGCATATAAGGTATACCTACGCTTGTGGCTTGCAGCGGGCTTATGAAAGAATTAAAAGTATTTGTAGAAATGTACATCACACAAAATACTTAATGGAAACAACTCTTATCTAACTTTTATCCTTAATTCCTAGGTTAGTAGCACTATCTCGTCAACAGCCGCTCTACACGATAAGATGGCGGTCCCAAGTTGTGCGTGCTAACACGCGCCTGGGGCCCCCCACACCAGCACCAGCAGCATCAGCCGCAGCCACCAGCATCGTCGTCACTAGGATCCTTTTATACCTGCTTTGCTTAACACTACTAAGACTTTGAAACAACACTTCAACTTCAGAACTATGTTATTAAAATCAGTGTTAAAAACATTCAAAATAATTCGAAATTGTGACTTGAAAACCAGTGCTTTACGAATAGAATTTTATGGTGAAGTGTGTAAAAAAATCAACCAAGTGAGTACATTATGGATGTTTTTATACTTGCGTGCTGTGTTCGATCAAAGATTTTGAACCACGTGCGTTTAATTCTGTGTCTAAATATGTGAAATACTTTGAACAGCTAATAAAACGAAGGATGACATCAATGATTGTTATTTTAATGATTTCAAATATGGAATACAGGACTGTCATGGTTTTATTACAGAAGTGTTGATATGAAATCTTTCATCTTGTGAGAAGATGATAGGTACTTATATAAAATAATTTTGACACTATTTCTCCTTATGTCACTTTACTAATCAAGAATTCAGTTTTACAAAAAAAAAAAACATCCTGACGGCGGGCCCCGTAATAAAAAAATATATTAAAATATTATTTTTAAGTTTTTTGTTTCAGATTTTTTATTTGGGATAAGCGCGAATAATATAATTCGTAAGCGCTAATACCTAGCAATAGATATTACCAAAAAATAATTGATTCGATTATTACTCATTGATTGCCCCATTATTATAACAATTATATTATTAATGGGTACATAAGTAAATCTATTTTCAAGTTTTATTTTAACGCTCTGTAGATAAGAAAATAGTGATTGTTTTTTTTAAGTTTTTTATTTTAAAAGTGGTTTGTAATCATTTAAAGCAAAAGGAAAGCTAAAGCTTAGGAAAAGGAAACCAGTCATTGCCAAATTTAAACGTTATAAATAAGCACAGTAAAGTGAGCAAACGAGTGTATTTTCAATTTTGTTGATTTATCTTCAGTTATAAATCTAACTGCAGGGAGTAGCGCTCTGGTACATGAAAACAAGCACATGAATCAAACGCTGTGTCGAAAATACTCAAACAGTTCTAATCCAACCAAGAATTGGTAATAGTTGCTTGATATTTAAAAAAAATATGCCACTATCAATAAAATATGTATTCTTTTTACCCCCTTTTATTGTAATTATAAATTTCTTTAAAAAAATCACTCATAAAAAAATATTTGTCTTAGATTCCGTTTTGTTTTGTCTTGGATAAAAAGTATTTTGTTATTGGAAAATTCTTAGGTTGAAAGTTAAAGGAAATTTACAAAATCCTACCAGCGATAAAATCTTCCTCGATACTGTTTCGAGTTTTTCATCAATAGCTTGGTTTCTGTTGAGACAATAGAATTGTAACAAGCCATGAATAATACTTCTATTTCGTACCAAAAGATATCCGTATCGATAGCGTAGCTGTATCGATATCGATAGTTTACTAGGGATGTAAACAATGTACGATGAACTATAAAATATATGTAAATATTGAATGTATAAGCTTGAACGAATCCCTTAGATTAAAATACCTCCGAAGACTTTTTGGATAAGTAGGAAAATAATGTTGCTTCAAAAGAATTGTGCTTATTTTAATTGCTGTTCTGTTTTTTTTTTAAATTGTATTTTATTTTTGTTATAAATAATAGAATTAGTATGTATAAATGGCTGATTAAATAACTGTCTTACTGTCAATTATAAATTCGTAGAATAATAAATCTGATATTGTTTTCTCTGCATCTCGCTGTTTACTATTTCTCCACAAAAATATTACTTCTTAGCTGTATTGTATGAAAAAATGCTATTATTTAAGTCTCAATGTAAATTTATTCTATGTGATCACTTCGCCATGTTCCACAATTTTATGTGCAAATAGATTTTCACTGGACCATGAAATAAAAATCACCGAGCAAAATAAAATAAATCTGCAAAGCAATTGAATCGTTTGAAATCAATTCGAATAAAATAATAAATGCACAAAAATATATTTTAATTACTATCACGCGCGATTCGTATAACAAAAATATGAATTTTAATTATCCGCTCCTGGATTTTGAGCACTTCACGGGAATTGAATTTGCAAAATATTACGGTACGTCAAACACAAATCTCACGATTGGAATTTAGAGGTTGTTGGAATAGAAACACAATTGAAACAGAATAGAAAATGTTTTTGTTCGAACGATGTGTTATTTGTTATAGATATTCCAATAGATGAGAAAAGTATTATTGCGCAGTAGATAGAACGCGGAGAACTATTTCACTGACTAATGTTGTACTCGAATTCGTGTTCATGTGAATATTTACCACGAATATCCCATTTCATTTCTCTGATATCTAAAGATTGGAACGCGTGGAAGCGCCATAAATGTAACTGTGGTTATGGATATATTTCACAATATTTGTTTGTCTATTTCTATTCATAGAGCTGTGGTTGTTAATTTTCATATCAATTGTAGAATCAACTTCACAAGCCATTGTTCGGTAACAGCTTTATTAATACGTTTAAATAAGTTCACGTTGATCCGTAGTAAATTTTGTGTAATATTGACAATTATCAATTATGTAACTAGATTATAACAATAGATTAGATGTAAATAGTTCGGACAAAGTTGGCATTATCTCTTCTTCGTTAAACTGGGGATAACCCAAACTTTGTCCTCCTCTCTAGATTAAATAAAAAGCTAACTTTAATAGGTAGGTAGAGGATTCTACGTATAAAATAATGAATAATGTTTGTTACACTGAAATAGATAAAATCAAAGCAATTTGTGTATTATTTTTTCATCCTTATATAAACCCATATAAACCCAGCACTTATTTATAAAATGTTTAACTAATTCATGTACTAAGTGAAATTAGTTCAAATAACGTAAAGAATCTTCTCACTGATATTTCAATCGTAGTAGACGCACTTATGGTCACTTCTGTCGACAAAAACCTGATGCATCCTCTCCTAGCCCTCTCATACAAAGTGGAACTGCCCGAGCCATGCAACTGTCATGAACGAGCATCGTAATATAGATGGCTTTAAGAGCTCTCACAGACTAGATAGCGTCGCTGTTATACACACGTCAATGGAAGAGAGGAAATCACATTAAATTATATTTTAGAGCACAATAGATTAAATAAAAATATTTTCTCTAAATTTTGAGTATTTGATATTACTTAATGCACAGTCTTTGAGTAATTATTACAATGAAGTTTTGTAACTGGATCCCAAATTAGGCCATCAGCCTGTATCTTGGAACTCAGTGTTAAGTCGCTCAAAAGGCAAATGAGTACTTATTGTTTGCGTACTGAGTCGCTTTATTTCTTTTATTGCTTCTAGGTGATGATTTTCATTATTCGCAATATGTTGAATGATGAACAAGAGACTTGAGAGGGAGTTTGCTAAAACTCCTAAGCATGCCAGGCAAATTTAGAGATGGTAGTTACTTTGCGTAAAATTTAGATGATGCTGTCCATATCACGATAGTTAGTCGCCATTTTCAAAGAGTTACAAGCAAATCCTAATCGTCTCGAAGCTATCGAAACCCGAATCGAAATTCGAAGTAATATTTTATTAGAACAATCTAAAACTTCTTTAGAAATTAATACCGATTACTTACTATTAAATATTAATTATTATTTCTAAGTACGTACTTAGTTTCGTTCGTAATAAATTGTTGAACGCTTTCTTGGAAAACCAAAGCCATGTGATTGATGTTTTAATTAAAAAGCAAAGCAGTAGCGATGCCTTATATTTGTACGTACTGGTAACAGTGCAGTCGAGAGCTGTGCCAAGAACTGATTACTCGCCACGTTTTACGTTTGATCCCAGCCACTAGAGTTAACAAAATTATAGGAGCAAACATTGAAGGAAGCATGGAAGGCTTTATCAGTTCGATCGTGCCTCAGTTTAAACTTTCCATTTGAAATGTTCGCCTCTGCCTTTCTTTAAACTTCCCCTCTCGCCTTTGAGGTTTCTAAGACGGAAACTTCTTTTTAAGATAGGTTCCGAACTAGTACTTTTATTTTTCTCTTTACTCGCCATTGCGGTACTAGTGTTTGCTGTGTGGAAGGATGTTACAGTCGAGCTTATGTGAATTCAATGTCTCGTTAGTTGCAACCATAAAATAATGTTCAGTTTTTCTTTTACTCGTACCAGCTATTTATTACTCAGGCTATTATTGAGAACATGGAATTACGTACAATGAAATAAAAAAAAAACTGTGCGAATTATATGCATTGATTCATTAAAAACTCTACGAAAATATAAGTTACTCAGTTCAAGTACGGTAAACTAATTTAAATTCCAAAGTTGTAGAAAAGCAGACTTCTTTTAATAATAGAAGACATAAAAGATCTGTTGCACGAAGATTATTCGCCGAAGATTTGTTCTTAAACTAAGTTTAATATGAAGTCAGTTGAGTTGAAGAAAGATGGATCCACAGTCGGTTGCTAACTTAGCAGCTTTTGATTCGCTAGCGCTGCGCCAATCGTAAAGTTGTGTACCCAGAAAAAGGCCGTTGGCAAAGTCTTCCATAAGATGAAGTTCCTCGCATCCAGCCGTCTTTGTGCCTCACTCAAAGGAAACGCAATTTAAACTACATGCGGGCACACCAGATATTCATTCCCTTAACCCCCAACTCTTTCGGAACACAATTTGCAAGTTTTATTTAAGGCTGCCGAGCGTGGGATATCGTGGACCCGCATCAGACGTACTATAATAACAATTAAACAAATTGGAATTAAGTTGAAGTTGCAGTGAACACTGCAGTTCGTTAAAACTATATAATTGGAGTCCGGAGAGTATAAATAGGAGGAGCTCTAATGGCGCCCGCTGGTAAGGATTAGCAGACATGTTGTTTCCTCGCCACTAGTTAGTATCCTCAGAGACTGCCAACCTTAGTTATTCAGTACAGTTAGATGTGTTTGTAAACATAATAATATATTGCAAATTCAAGTATTATATAGTTAGTTGTTTGTAGCGCGTCTCGAGGTTCCAATTAATTTGTTAATACTTGTAGTAAACAGAAAAGAACGAGTGGTGTGATGACCCGTCAGGTTTACACGATAAATAATTAAAGTTTTAAAATAATTTT